CCCACCTCCCTTTCTACCACCCCTCGTTCGTTTCCCAGAGTTAGGAGTCTCTCATGTTCTGTCTCCCTTTCTGATATTTCCCACTCATTTTTTCTCCTTTCCCCTTTATTCCTTTTTAAATAACAATTTCTATTTAAGCTATTAAAACTTAACAATTTTGAGTAACAACTAATGATTATTGTCAACTAATTGAAAAAAGAGAGAATATAGTTGCTATAGTTTGAACTGAGGAGAACTCGTAGTCAGGTAAAGTATTAAGGAATTATATGCTCATGGGGGAGAATGACTGGCTTGTTACCAGAAATTGCTGACAGATTAAGTACTGTGACTGTAACAGCTATGAAGGCAGGTGCAGAGGGGTCGTTTGGGCGGACTTAGATAACATGAGCCCTGTTGCTGTCACTCAGGCGAGTTTCCCATAAGGGTGCACGGTTCTTTTTTTCTTTTGGATAAAGCAAAGTGTAATTTCCCCTTGATGTACACAGCAGTTGCATTCCTGGCATATTCCGATGTTTTAAAATTCTACAAAAATATTTTGTCTTTGTGTAAATCAGAGTTAGATTCTAGGTTCAAATAAGTAGAAATAGGTTATTCACCTATATAAATGCCATTCCAGATTCTTTTTTTTTTTTTTTTTGTCTTTCCAGATTCTTAAAAAAAAAAAAAAAAAAAGGTTTTGCAAGGGAAAAAAGAAAAACAAATGAGAAAGCAAGGCACAGGCAAAACAATAGTCTTTTCAGCCCTAGAGAGTAGAACTAGGACTGAGAAAGACAGTTTGCCCATGTGAGGGGAAGGCACATCTTTTAGGATATTTAAAATGAATAGTAATGGAAAATAATAATAAAGTTATACGCTTAAATATATAATAATAAATTTGAGACTTTTTTTATTTTAGAGAGGTGGGGAGAGGCAGAGGGAAAGAGAATCTTAAGCAGGCTCCATGCCCAGTGCAGAGGTGACATGGGGCTCGATCTCATGACCCTGAGGTCATGACTTGAGCTGAAATCAAGAATCTGATGCTTAACCGACTGAGCCACCTAGACACCCCTAAATTTGAAACACTTGGGATCCCTGGGTGGTGCAGCGGTTTAGCGCCTGCCTTTGGCCCAGGGCGCGATCCTGGAGACCCGGGATCGAATCCCACGTCGGGCTCCCGGTGCATGGAGCCTGCTTCTCCCTCTGCCTGTGTCTCTGCCTCTCTGTGTGTGTGTGTGTGTGACTATCAGAAATAAATAAAAATTAAAAAAAAATTTTTGAAACACTTTTTTTTTTTTTTTTTTTTTTACAAAATGAAATGAACCAAAGGACAAAAATTGGAAGGGGCCAAAAATGTATAGAAAAATCAGGATAACTACCATGAGTAAAGCTCCTGGGTCTCATGTTACATAAATTTGAGAAAAACATTCATTTATTGAGCACAGTTGACTTTGTCCAAATAGCATGCTAGGCTTTCAATAAATCACTCTGGTTCTCATATCTTGGAAGAGACTCTTACTGAACAAAACAGTAAAAGAATAGGAAACCTATTCAAAGAACAAAATATTCTTGAAAGTTAACCTTGTGCAGTCACAGTGGCATGGTTGGGAATGTTTGGTCTGTGGCTTTACCAATTAAATCTGTCAAATGTGGCCCCACTTGGTGTCCTGAAGTTTTATTCTAGATTCTCTGGGGTTTGTGATAATAGGTAAGTTTCTAAGAGTCAAATGATTTTCCAGGTTTATCTCCCTTTATGTTTGTAGGTAGAGTTAGAAATGTCTGTATAATTAAGACTATTCAAGTGTGGTTAGTTTATCAGTGACAACACTCTTGAAATCTTTCCCTGCTTATGAATTTCAAACCACGTTCTACATTGTGATTTATTTTAGGTCTTTTTGTGTAGATGGGAAACATCAGGAAGCCTTTTCACTTGCTCAAGGTCACAGAGAACTGGAAGGAACCTGGTCTTGTTCCTCTGAACCTTAGTTCTCCAGCCTGCCAAGCTGCAGTCCACTAATTACCCACGCGAAGAGATTATGCATGTGTTTTCAGTGAAGTTGAGTTGGAGAAAACGTTTAAGTAGAAAATAAAAACGGGCACCTGGCTCAGTTGGTTAGGTTAAGCGTCTGGCTTCCACTCAAGTCGTGACCGGGCTTCTGGGTCCCTGCTCCGTGGGGAGCCTGCTTCTCCCTCTGCACCACCCTCCCACCCCCGGCACCACCCCCTGCTCTCTTTCTCGTTCTGTCTCTCAAATGAATAAGTAAAATGTTTAAAAAAGAAAAACAGGGATCCCTGGGTGGCGCAGCGGTTTGGCGCCTGCCTTTGGCCCAGGGCACGATCCTGGAGACCCGGGATCGAATCCCACGTCAGGCTCGCAGTGCATGGAGCCTGTTTCTCCCTCTGCCTATGTCTCTGCCTCTCTCTCTCTCTCTGTCTGTGACTATCATAAATAAATAAAAATTTAAAAAAAAATAAAAAAAATGCTTTTAAAAAAAATAAAAGAAAAAGAAAAACATTAGGAGAATGGGAGATTGTGTTCTTTAGAAAATATGAGGTGCCAGACTTAGCAAATAACTCAAGCGTTTTAAACTAATAACCATACCATAAAGTCATATTTCAATAATGAAGGAGAAAAATTTACTCGACTGTATGGTATGATGGTGTCAAAAGAGATCGACCTGGAGTTTGAAACTTTTTTTTTTAAGATTCTATTTATTTGAGAGAGAGAGAGAGAGAGAGAGAGCGCGCGAGCATGAGCAGGGATGGGGGAGAGGGAGAAGCAGACTCCTCACTGAGCGGGGAGCCTGATGTGGGACTCGATCCCAGGACCCTGGGATCATGACCTGAGCTGAAGGCAGACGCTAACTGACTGAGCCACCCAGGTGCCCCTGAAACTTTTTTGTGGAGTCACCAGACCACTTGTGTTAAAGGCAGCTGGAGAGCTTGGCAAAACTGCGCTTCCTGTGTCCCTACACAGTCTGTGGCGTCAGGCGCTCCTCAGGTGATCCTGCTGCGGACGAGGTTGTGAGGGGGTGTCCTGAGGCGAGCCACCAAGTTTGGTGTGCCAAAGGTGTGCCTTGTGGGTCCTGGGAAAGACAGAACCGAAGATGGTGATGCAGCTGGCTGCTGCTTACATGGTCTCTCCCTTCCCCAGGCCCCTTGTCCTTGGGGGATACCCTCTGGGACCGTGCCATCTGCTACTGCTTGTGCAGACCACGGTTCTCGGGGCGGGGGGCACATTTAGGCACATTACTAAACGTCTCCTGGCATCACTCTCTGCATCTGTAACATGGGTATAACCTTAGTGCCCACCTCACAGAGTTGTTGGGAGATCATTAGCTAAAGTGCTTAGGACAGTGCCTGGCATGTAGTAAACACTAAAGAAAGGATAGCTGCTATTATACACATGTTTTTAAAAAGACTGATGCTTTTTTATTTTTATTTTATTTTTAAAAATTTTTTAAAGATTTTATTTATTTATTCATGAGAGACACACACAGAGAGAGAGAGGCAGAGACACAGGCAGAGGGAGAAGCAGGCTCCACGCAGGGAGCCCAATGCGGGACTCGATCCCGGGTCTCCAGGATCACACCTTGGGCTAGAGGCAGTGCTAAACCGCTGAGCCACCCGGGCTGCCCCTGATGCTTTTTAAAAACATTTCTTCTGCTGACTAGTGACCTGTCCAGTTTTATTTAGTTCTTTGCCTAAAAGAATTATTGAATTGTCTGCTCCTTTTTTTGTATCCACCATACTCTGGATATACAATTATGGCAACATCTAGAACACTTGATGGGTACTCGTTTTACATGTTCATCTCCCCACCACCCACGGGTAGGACCCAGGTCTTCTGCACATACCACAGCACAGAGCACAGGAGCTGCCAGATGGCAAAATCAAGTGTTGGGTCCTACTAACTGAGGTTACATGAAAGTGTCCTGTGGCTCAAAATATGCCTCAGCCTTAACTCTGGGGGTTTAAATAGGGTACGATTGTGCTATGTCACCAGAAGACAGTGTCTGAAAGTATCACTTGATGATCATATTGATTTATACTATCAAGTAAAATTGGATTACATAATTAGTTCTTAGGATGTTCTAGTAGGATATGTTTATGTTTTCATTTGCATATTATACATATTTCCTATGATAGTCAAAACTTAATTGGAATTTGAGTAATCAAAACTCAGTACATACTTATGTAATGCATATCAAATCATAGTTATTTTAATCTCTCACTTGGTCTGAATATCCAGAGTATGTCTGGATGTCTGGAATATTGGCAGGCAATATATTCTTAATTATTTAAATATCTAAAGCTTCTGTCATTATCAAACTGGAAGCTCTGTGATGTGAGGTACTGATCTTTTTTTTTTTTTTTTTTTAAGATTTTATTTATTTTGAGAGAGAAAGCGGGAGAGTGAACCTGAGTCGGGTAGGGGCAGAGGGAGGGGGAGAACCGGGCCTCCCTCTGAGCAGGGAGCCCACTGCGGGACCCAGTCCTAGGCCTCTGGGATCAGGACCTGAGCCCAAGGCAGATGCTTAACTGACTGAGACGCCCAGATGCCCTGAAGTACGAATCTTGCTGGCGTATTTTCCTTTTATGAAGGACTAACACCAATAGGGTATATGCAATTTCAAAGTCGGATGTTTGATGAATGAATTTGAGCTGATTTTCAAAGAACAAATATTTATTGAGTACTGACCAGGTGCAAGATTCTTAAACCTTAGAATATCTAGACCAAAGATGATTTTTTTGTACAGATTCTGACCTCAAAGAACTTACAGGCTAGAAGGGAAAGTAAGTATATAAAAATATTTATTTTATTCTCTCCTGTTACGGAAATTTTGAGAAAGTGCTAGAACTTAGGGGAGATGATTATGGGAGTTGATATATATAAAGTCAAGGTGAACTGGGCCAGGGAGGCAACTAACCGGTGTCAGCTACAAGTCCCAAGCAGGTTGCTCAGTAATTATAACATTCACCTTTCCTGAGAGCAGAGTTGACATTGTGGTGTCTTGTCCTAGGTACTCTCCTTTCTCTTCATTGGTCTGATGTCCATGATGATTCCCCTGTGTAGGGTCTTTGGGGCCCTCATTGCTGTCTGTCTCATCATGGGTCTCTTCGATGGATGCTTCATTTCCATTATGGCCCCCATTGCCTTTGAATTAGTTGGTGCCCAGGATGTTTCTCAAGCAATTGGATTTCTACTTGGATTCATGTCTATACCCATGACAGTCGGACCACCTATTGCAGGTAAATGTAATGATTCTCCAGTAATTATATGTAAAATATATTATGATTTATTGGTTACTGGTCTTTTGCTTTTGCGTGTGCCTTATTGGTAACATTTTTGATGAGACCAGCCTTGGATGACACGTTGAAAAAGTTTGATGAGGAATCCCTCTTATCCTTACTGATACATGACACACTCTATAAAATGTATAATTGTAATCTTCTGGGCTTTAAGCTTTCACAATTCCTATATCTCATTTAGTACGTGTTTTGAAGAAATAGAATCATGGTTGCTTTTAAAAAAGAGTTGAAGATTCTGAAAGATTTCTATTTTTTTTCTTAAAGATTTTATTTATTTATTCATGAGAGACACACAGGCATAGACACAGGCAGAGGGAGAAGCAGGCTCCATGCAGGGAGGCCAACATGGGACTCGATCCTGGGACTCCGGGATCATGCCCCGAGCCAAAGGCAGATGCTCGACCGCTAAGCCTCCCAGGGGTCCCTGAATGATTTCTAAATATGCTTTGTGTCAGAAATCATATCCTCCCTAGAAATAACTAATGGAAAATAACACTAAGTGGAAACAATTCAAATGTCCATGAGTCGATGAATGGATAAACAGAATGTGGTGTAGCTATACAAGGGGATATTACACAGCCATAAAAAGGAAAGGTACATTGGCATGTACCAATACATGCCACCCCATAGGTGAGTCTTGAGAACATTATGCTAAGTAAAAGAAGCTGGATACAAAAGGCCACATACCATGTGGTTTTATTTATATGAAATATCCAGAATAGGTAAATCCACAGAGACAGAGTGCAGATTGGGGGCTTCCGGGGGCTGGAGGGAAGAGTAATGAATTAGGGAGTAACCGCTTCATGGGTAGGGTGCTTCCTTCTGGCGTGATACAAACATTTTGGGACTAAATAGAGGTGGTGGTTGGACAACACTGTGAATGTGGTAAATGCCATGGAAATGGTTAATTTTATGTTATAGGAATTTCACCTTTAGAATCTTCTGAGTAGTATAAAGATGCCTCGTGTTCAATAAGACTTGGGTGCCAATGTGAATTATTAGGTTATGATTCGATAAAATTCAAATGTATTGTCATCTGTGTCTGGCATGTGAGAGGCTCAGTGACAGTACACTCTCATGTCTAGGACCACACATATCAATCAGCACCTTTGCCAACTGGGGACCTAGTCATGAATCAAGCGGGCAGTCACTAAAGGTCACAGTCTCCCTACAGGAGAACCTTCCCTCCAGCCCTCCTCCTGCTCCCCATCTCCCTCCAGCCCTCCCCCTGCCCCCATCTCCCTCCAGCCCTCCCAGGCCCCCATCTCCCTCCAGCCCTCCCCCTTCCCCCCAATCTCCCTCCAGACCTCCCCCTGCCCCCCATCTCCCTATAGGAGAACCCTGTCCCCCAAGTAAAACACTATTTACACTATTTTTATACCTTGGAAGACTAGATTTTTAGGGTTTCCAAGTCTACAACAGATTATAAGCAGCACTTTGGTAGGAATGGTGTTTCCGATGAGAAATAACTGATAACAGATCAATAACAAAGGCGATAATCAGAAACTTCCAAAGTAGGCAGAACAATACACAGCAACTGGGAGCAGAGAGCTCTGGACTCACCGGGAGGCTGAGGGGTCATAGTATTACAGCCAAATATGATAACCAGTGTTCGTAAGGAGGAAAGGTTTACTCATATACAGAATATTCTGATTCAGAAGACAGGAAGATTGGATCTTTGGATGTGTTGTATGTTTTAGGCTTCTCTCTAGAATAAACATACATGTCTTTAATGTGTCGGTACTTAACTGGACAAATTCTCAGCTGTTTATTTTGAAAAGTTAAATACTCAATATGTTCCTTGGACATTTCAGATAACTTGAACTTTTATAGCAAAAGTTAGAAAAGTTTAAAAACACTAAGATAACTCTTAAATCTGGGTTTTTATGGGGCACCTGGCTGGCTCAGTTGGTAGAACATGTGACTCTTGATCTCAGGGATGGGGTTGAGCCCCACGGTGGGTGTAGAGATTACTTAAGAAATAAAACAAAAAAAAAAGAAAAAAGAAAAAAAAGAAAACTTTTGAAAAATCTGAATTTTAGGGACACCTGGGTAGCTCAGTGGTTTAGTGCCTACCTTTGGCCCAGGGCGTGATCCTGGAGTCCCGGGATCAAGTCTTACATCAGGCTTCCTGCATGGAGCCTGCTTCTGACTCTGCCTGTGTCTCTCTGCCTCTCTGTGTGTCTCTCATGAATAAATAAATAAATCTTTAATTTAAAAAATCTGAATTTTGGGCAGCCCGGGTGGCTCAGCGGTTTAGCGCTGCCTTCAGCCCAGGGCGTGATCCTGGAGACCTGGGATCGAGTCCCACGTCGGGCTCCCTGCATGGAGCCTGCTTCTCCCTCTGCCTGTGTCTCTGCCTCTTTCTCTCTCTCTGTCTCTCATGAATAAATAACTAAAATTTAAAAAATAAATAAATAAATCTGAATTTTGTTAGAGAAATTAGAAATAAGTATTCTTAATAACAGTTTTTTGAGGCAGAGCTCAAGGATCTATCAGAATGCCAACATCTTACTCCCATCTACTGACAAATATATTTAACAATCTAACTTTTTCATCTTACCTCTCAGATCTATAGTTTTTTTTTCATGATTTTGAATTACAATTTGAAGTAGTTTCATGTTATTTCATAAACAAATAGGCCCAAGAAAGGTTTGAAATGTAGACATTGTGGGGTATGTGTGTATGAGAGAAGTTTCAGGTCGGTGGTTTACCCACCTTCCCCTGAAATAGGGCCATTATACCATGAGTCTGAACACCCCAGAGGCCTCTGAATGGTTTTGAAAGAGCCAAAGCTGGGTAGCCCTGATGGCCCAGCGGTTTGGTACCGCCTTCAGCCCGGGGCGTGATCCTGGAGACCTGGGATCGTGATCCTGGAGACCTGGGATCGAGTCCCACGTCGGGCTCCCTGCAGGGAGCCTGCTTCTCCCTCTGTCTGTGTCTCTGCCTCTCTCTCTCTCTCTGTGTGTCTCTCTCATGAATCAATAAATAAAATCTTTAAAAAAAAAAAAAAAAGGAAAGAAAGAGCCAAAGCTTGGTTGCAAATATTTTTTTCCATGTAACATCTCGGTACACAAACCCACAGGCCTATAGTCTGTGACAAGGCTAAAGAGCTACGTTTTCTTCCTGTCTCGTATCAGGAAAGGCTTATACTTCAGACCTGTTTTGTAAGGAATGTGTGACTGATCTGGGACCCCGGAGAGCCACACTCGTTCTCTCGGTGACAGTTTTTTTCCCTTCCCAGGGTTACTTCGTGACAAGCTGGGCTCCTATGATGTGGCATTTTACCTCGCTGGAGTCCCTCCCCTGATTGGGGGCGCTGTCCTTTGTCTTATCCCCTGGATCCACGGGAAGAAGCAGAGAGAGCTTGATAAAACCACTGGAGGAGAAAAGATGGAGAAAATGTTGGAGAACCAGAACTCTCTGCTGTCAAGCTCATCTGGAATCTTTAAGAAGGAATCTGACTCTGTTATTTAATGTCTTATATACCTCCACCGGACTGGACTTGCTTTCGGAAATTTAAGCAAGTTTTCCTTTTATATGAATTGCAAATTTCTTATTTTTTTAATTACATCCTAAGAATAGCACAATAATTGGGAACTAGGACCCTTATTACTACAAGAACCATTTTCTGCCACTGAATAGCTGGCTGGCTGATATTTCCGTGAGTGTGGGGGCAGAGACGCTGGTGTATGAAAACTTACGTCAGAAAGTCAAATGTTGTGAGAATTGAAGCGATCTCAGTAAAAAGCAACTTTGGAAACTGTGAATGCTAATAAGCTTGTACAAATATTTTAAAATACCTCAAGCTATAATGAAAGGGTTGCAATTTGGTTAGGACTGGAAATACTGTTTGTTGTCTCCTATGAGGTTTTAAATCCTGGTGTCTCTAATTTCTTCTGTTTGAAAACTTTTTACAAAATCTAAGCCTGCATTCTAGACCATGTCAGATCTGCCTAAGCCTCAAGTCTCTGTTAAAGTTGCTTGCCTGCTGTTAAATAAGACATGAGATTAAGTTATTCTGACTTGCTCCAGTGTCAGGGGAACTGCTTGGAGCAGATGGTAACGCTGTGTTCAGATTCAGTGACGTGGAAAGGCCACTGTGCAGGAGGGCAGAGCAACTCAGAAGTCAGACGTTTCTTCCACTTAACGTTTGTTCTCTTTCGTTTTGTAGTGTGTTTTACTCAAGTAGCCAGAAACCTCCCAGATTTCTGAACTTTTGTTTAAAGTGTAACAATAAATAGAATGAATGAAAGATTCTGGCAATTTTAACGTAGAATTTTTCTGACTTTGGGATTTGTTAGCAGTAGGACTTGACATTTCAACAGAGGCTTAGGGAGCATGGTATCAAGTTGCGGTTTCAGGTACAAGGGGGGGGTATCTTTCTATTCGTGCAGAAAATATTTCTGACAGAAACAACTGCTCAAATTGGTTTAATAGGTCTTGAAAGGTTAAAAGCCCTTATAAAGAGAAACAACTTCTGTATTTCCAAAGCTTTCTGGCAAAAATTTGTGCTCCTTGGTATTTATCCAAGCATGCTCTCCGTGAATATTCCCAGTATTTTTTCCATTTATATGAAGACACTTGTATGTAAGCTATTCAAGTTTCAAAGACCTAAAATTAAAACCGAAGTTATACCATGACCTAAACTCATCTATAAAAAATAGGAACACTTTCCTCATCCTGAAATTATACTTTAGTACATGTTTCTTATTTGTCTTTGAAAGTTAGTAATATGCGAAGTATATTTAAATCTTAAGTATAAATGTGTACTGGAGCTTCCTCAAATGTAGCTTGTTCACCTGGGAAGAATGCGGTCTCTTTCTAAAACACCTCCAGGATCCATCTGTTTCGAACTTCTCTGGAAGGACAAACTTACCTCTTATCTCCCTTCTTTTCCTTTCAGCTTCTGTCCTTTCTTCATCTTTAGCTGAGGATATAGAAACCGGAAGAGCATATGGATTTGCAGTTGTTGATGGGGACACATGGAGGGAACTGAGGCGGTTAATTTAATTAAACAGAAAACCCAAAACTTCAAAGTAGGAATGCTTAAATATGGAATTTATTTTTAATTGGATTTAAAACGACTTTTGATTGTGAAGACATTCAGCAGTTTACTATGACATACACATGGTTGCACCTTTCAGTACTTCTATATTTTCATATTTAGGAAACTTGGGCAATTTGTTTTCTTGGAAGGTTCTATTGCTTAAAAAAACAGCTATATTTTGACAATACTGCCCTTTCATATTCATATTTTTACTTTGAACTTTTAGAAAGTGACTTAGAGGAGCACCTGGGTGGCTCAGTCAGTTAAGTGACCAACTGTCGATTTCAGCTCAGGTCCTGATCTCAGGGTCACGAGTTCAAGCCCCACATCAGGCTCCACGCTGGGCATGGAGCCTGCTTGAGTTTCTCTCCCTCTCCCTCTGTCCGACCTTCTCCATCCCAACCCCATAGGCACATGCTTTCTAAAAAAAAAAAAAAAAAAAAAAAAAAAAAAAAAAGAAAAGAAAGCAAAAACCCCCACAACTTAGAAATGATATTGTGTTCTTCATTTATTCATACCCAGTTATATAAAACATTATTTCCTATTATCAGTGCTGTTGAGAGCAGCAAAAACTTACAACTAAGACCAATCAACCCTGCCATTATAAGTTGTTTTTTTTTTTTTTTTTTTTAGAGTTTCATCACAGACTCCTAAGACTTGTCCTCACCCCTGCCAATTTTACAGAAAGAATTCTAAACAAGAATATTTATTCTGTAAAGACCTCCAAAATGTTTTCCCTTTCAAATTTTGGCTGATTTTAGACAGGAAAAAAAAAGTAATAATCTGAAACTCAAAGACTTGATCTTACTTGATTAGGTTCCATAATAAAAGAGCAAAATGGGGCACCTGGTGGCTCAATTGGTTAAGCCCAGACTCTTAATCTCAACTCAGGTGTTGATCTCAGGGTCCTGAGATTGAGCCCCATGTTGGGCTCTATGCTGGGCGTGGACCCTACTTTTTTTTTTTTAAAGGCAAAGTAGCTGAAGTATTTATAGTAAAAGATTTCAGAATATTGTGTTTGTGTACAATATTACATGCAAGCAGTTTCCAGTCTGATGCAACGAATTAAGCAGGTTCTATGACACTGAAAAAGCTCCACTATCATAGCCTGTTATGGAGCGTGAGTTCTGAGCTGTCAAAATAAAAATTTAAAAAGCATAAAAAAGATGCTAATTTCTATAAAATGTATATTTCATAACATGTTTGGTACAGAAAGTCCTAAAGGTCAAGTTTTTAAAGTTCTACAAACTTAGAAAATGAAAAATACAAATATTCATAAGGAGTCGTGTTTTAGACCAAGAAACATTACCTTAATCTTTCAAAGTAAATCCTTTTTCTGAATCCTGATTTCTGAACAGAGTGTTATTGCAATAAAGTGACCTGGTGGGCCTAAATTTTTTTGTTCAATCTAGACATTTTATTGAGAGGGAAAGAGCAGAGTCAGAACCCTGCTTTCTATCTCATCATCCTAATTCTGGTAACACTCAGCAAATTCTCTAATTCAAAAGCTTCTAGCATTTGAGGCCAACAAGGTAAGAAAGGGAGCAATTATTACTCTTTACGGAGACTGAATTAGATACCATTGTAACAGATACCCATGGATATTCCAGAAACATTTTAAATTTTATTGCAGTAGATACTGTTGGGAATCCATCCATTTCAGTAATAATAAACCACCCAGATTGATACTTTATTCAAAATTTATAAGTTTTTTTGATCACAGGTGCAAACCTTAGTCTCCAGTCCTACTAAGAGATTGTAATGTCCACTTAAGATTGCATAGTGCTTGCATGAAGCTTCAAAGGCTCTTCATAATCAGAAACAGGACTTCATCTGTACGTCCCGAGCCCCAGAATCTGTTTCCACCTGTGTGCAGAAGCTCCCGTGGGCTCTGCCCAAGTATGGAGAAAACCTTAGCTCTGTCAGCTTCAGCTTTCTCCACGTTTACGCTTAGCTGTAAACTCAGGTTTGTTTTTAACTTCTGGTAATTCTAATCCTTTTAGCTGCACTGAAGAATATTTTAATTTGTACTTTTGTTATTTATAAACCGCAGAGGACTTGCATTGGCAGTGATCAGGGGCGTGGGTGCACCGAGGGGTCCTCCTTCCCACCCTTTCTTGCTTGTCTGCTTGCTCTTCCTGTTCTCTTTCTCCTTATCATTCTTTTTCTCTTTACTTCCTCCTATCCTTCAAAAACCTGAGGAGTCCATTAACCTTGCCTAGTTCCGCTGGCTGCCTGGCTGCCCTAATAACTGGTCCCTGTGGCTTCAGAGGATGGAATCCCATCCAGTTCACGTAACCTGGTGAATGGCTTGCTTTCAGCCTTCAACGTAGAGTTCTGTTGGTCCACGTTGAAAAAATTAGTTACGTGATAAAAATCTGGGGAGGAAGTAATATGCTTCATACAATTGGCATCTTTTGTGCTAACATGTAAGAGTTTATTTAAACATTTAAGGTCGCACTTTCAGAGAAGAGAAGCTGTCAAGTTCTTAATATGTGTATTTTAAGAGGGCATATTTTTTTACTTTGATTTTCATATTCCATTCAAGTTTTGCTAAATGTTGATCCTGAGAGCACATTGTGGAGGATGCTTTGGAAAATAGTGGGCCCCTCAGCTGCGGTTCCTAATGAATCTGCCTTAGGCCCTGTTAAACGCTTTATAGTAAATGGTGTTAAGAGTGAATTCCCAGAGTCTAGAGATACAAGTGGAAAGGACACGTTCATTAGCTCCAGTTTCAAATTATGTAAACAATTTAAGTTTTAAACTCCTTAGGAAACTTCTAACACTGAAAACTTCATTGTCGCTGGCATAAACACGGAGGAGCAATTTTTGCATTAGAATGAAAATTGTTGCTTTTTTTCAAATGTGTGAAAAGGAGAAGGAAGTGAAATGTTCTTGTTTTACATTTACATTCTTTAATTTGAAAGACAAGTGTTGTCTTGGCTGGTAGAAAAATGTATCATCATCATAGTTTAACTCTTAAAAACAAAGTTTTTGCCTTGTTACTAAAAGAGAAGAACAGGTTTGCCATTTGTAATGGTGATGTGGAAATGTGGAGTAAGAACACAGGAGAGAGGGAAGGCTTGACAATCATTAATTCTGCTCATATTACACTCACTGATTTTTGGTGATACTTAGGTATAAAGGAGACAAAAAGACCATTTCGAGCTGAGTTTGAGAATGGTTTGTGGGGCAAAGAATAACCAGGTGGGGAGCAACAGGAGACCGCTCATGGGCTCATTATAATTTCAGTCATAGCCCTTTGTATCGGTTTATTTGTGGGCAGACACTAATGCTTTGTTTTATAAACACCCTATGGAGTGATAGGTTACAACCCCAAAAATAAAGGGCCAAATGGCCATAGCAAATGGGAAACCCGCATACAACTTAACCACAATTACTGAACTTACATAAATGTGGACTTAATCAGATGACTCCTTCTGAGACAGTAAAGACCCACAAAACGATTCATTGCCACGTCTTTGAATCACTCAAAGAAACCTTGAAACTTAAGATCTAGTTTTCTTAGCTTGTCCTTTTTAAAATGGTCATATTTTAAATAATAAACATTAATCATCTTGACCTCTATACATTCAAGGAAATTTCCCATGGTACTGTTTTCTTGACATACATAGGAGGCTACCTCATTTATGAAACAGAAGATTTCAATTTCTTTTCAGTGTGTTAGAAAGACATTGGGAATGAAGTAAAACCTCTCTAAATAACTTGATCCCGACAGTCCACCTACCTCAGCTTTCAGTGTCCCACTAAAAGCCCAGCTTAATCAATTCTTGCTTAATCAGAAGGGAGCTAGTGGTGACTGAGATTAAAAGGCAAGGGAGTGCAAGTGGTAAAGGGGCCACAGTATCAGTAAAATTTCTTAAGGGCTTTGTTCTAATAAGTGGACATAAGAGGAACAAAAAAGGAATATCTTCTAATGTGGCCTGTGGATAATCTGAAATAGGAAAACTCAAGAAATTTATAATATATAGTAATGAAAACTTAGGAAAATGCTTCACTGGTGGCTTTTTATACTATACTGGCAGCTTGATGACGAAGTTTTGTTTTCATTTGTGTTTTCTTTGGCAGGAAAACGGATAATCACTGACAACAGACTATGCGCTTGTGCCTTAACCTTACCGCTTACATGTTAAACTCCTGCAGGAGGCACCCCTTTCCTAGTGGAACAGGGCCCGTGGCAATGATCTTTCCTCTCACTGGAGTTTTAAAAAATGCTGTCGTTGAGTGTGGCAATGGTGTAGGAGTTAACCCACAAGTTCCCAATCTATCAAAGATGTTTCTAGCCTTTCAGTGTGAGTGCTGTAGAGTATTTTGGAGTTGAATGTCACTAACCATGTGTGTGTGGTGGGAACTATCAGTATAAAATAACTATTGGAAATCTGATTAAATCTGTGATACTATTCTGGAGCCTCTGACGTATGACTTTTATTCTTTAACAAATAATACTTTTTAGTATCTGTCCATTATTAGAAGAGCCAATTTGTTAAATATTTTAAATATTTTTCTCTTATGATCTTCCCTAACTGTAGTCTCATAATTTAGTCTCTACTGGAATAGTATTTCAGGGACTGAGGGTTTCTTGAGTGCTATTTTTTGACCCCATTGCAATGAGCAGACTTTATAGTTGGTGCCTTTTTTTCGTACCAAAGAAAAATTAGATCAAAATTGGTGCTAAATTTCACGTTCCTTTTAAAATGATTTTTTTCTTTTTAAATTTATATATATCACAACAGGAAATGTATAGATCCAGCAGTATTATGCATGTTGTATTCTGTATATACATTTAAGGACAAAAACCTCACCTATAAAAAGCAATGGAATTCCCAAATCTGCTTAGAGGTATATAGTTTTTGTTAACACGTAAGACTTTAAAGTATAAACCTGATAAGAAAATGATCACTAAATGAAAACTTAGTAATGAATATACCCCCTAAGGTAGTAACTTTAAGGAAAAAGTCCCATACAATGTTATATCTCAAAAAATAAAAATAAAAAGTCCCTTGTCAATGTTTCTAGCACAAAGTTAGCTATTTAAAGTATTCTGTAACTCTGAGGGTGTACAGAAAAAGTTTTATGTATATTTTATTGTATATATATTTACATATGTACAAAATAGCTTTCTAATGAACTTTAGGTATTTTAAGCTATTTTTTCAGGCTAAAAGTAGAGGGGAGTCATCAGTCTTAAAACTTGGATAATGAGCTACATTAAAAAAAAATATTCTCACTGGAAGTATCATTGTTCACCTTTCAGATTTAGCATAAAACCTTAAGTCAGTAAGGGCTACATCTAGGTTAACGTCCGCGATCTCAGACCTACGATTTTTTAAAGGGTTCTCAGCATCATGGTTGTAGCCGACTGACACCCAACTAAAATTCCACATGGACCTCTGAGTCTTCGTGTCTTATAAGTAGGATTCTGGTGAAGTGAGGACAACAGGTTTTTATTTAATCCTGCTGATTTTTATAGACTGTCTTACTCTATGAGGATTTTACAAATATAAATCAGGAAAATGATACACTGTAGGAAATGAGGAAAACCATACATTTAGAATCTACTAGAGTATACTGGATTCTCTGAAATAATAACTCCTTCTGCTCACATGAGTTCTATGTGGAAAGGAGAATGGGGGCTTGTTAATCAGAAGTTACTGCACAGTGAGATTAAATATCCCTTTACTAACTTTTTTTTTTTTTTTCCCTTTACTAACTTTTGATGTGACTTAATTTAGGTGGTTTGAGAGCTGGAAGATTGCAAAGGCACTGTTCAGTGCTTGGTAACTTTTTATTTTCTCAATTTGTTCTCCTATCAGTTTATTTTAGCCTGAAAATTATAGCTACAGCACAGAACCCTGCAGTATTAAGAGAGAGCTTGGATTTTTTAAGTATATCCTCATATAATATGACATTTTTCACGTCAACTTATTTTCATGTTTATCTGAAAAGTAAATTCTAAATTATTTGCATATTTTCCAAGTTAGAAAAACATGCTATATCGTAGACATCAAAACCAAGTTATTCCAAGTGCACGCTGTAGACTGCAGTGAGGCTCTGCTTCTCTGCCTACACAGGATGCCATTTTTGGCACAATAGTTGTTTAAATATAGATCACTGTGTGAAATGATTATGCTGGATTTGATCAGTATGCAGTATTTTAGTACTTGCCTTTAAAAAATGATTTTTTCTTTTTAAAGAGTATAATTTATGATTGATTTTTTATAATGTGCAATTTCATATAGGTAACCAAAACCTTTTTAATGGGAAGAGCTTTGTAATCATTTAGAGAACAAAATCATTTTACTGTAGAACAATGTGATATCCTCAGTAAATACAATAAAAAAATTTTAGCAAATTTCTGTGAGGCTTTGTGATTATGGAATTCCCTGGGGAGATGAGGGAAGGAAAAGTTACTGAAGGAAACCAGCTGTGTGGAATAAAAGAAAAATAAGCTGTGTGCTTTTTAAGCTGCATGCATGTATTTATTCCAAGTGTGTTTGGGTGTCATTACCATTCTCTCTCCTGGGCAAGTGATGGGGATAGAAATGATCCCAAAGCACTGGAGAGTCCAAAAAGGATTTCTGACACTTTTTTTGTAGGTCGACTTACATTCCTATGTTACTTAGGCTGATTCAACTTACTACATTCAGCCATTACTTACTTGGAACCTCTGACTCACTGACAGTTTCAGGGGATGATCAAGAAACAGGATGGAATTTTGGTGGATACGCAGTGAGAAAAACTGACTCTGCAGTCAGAAGATTATGATTGGATGTGCCCTAACTACAAAGCAAATCATTATTTACATTTGATGGTGCTAAAGAGATTTTCTACATTAAACTCAAGAATGTGGGATTGTGATATATCATTTACTCCAATAATTATGATTTTATTTTTAAAAAATATTCTATTTGTTAGAGTGAGCATGAATGGGGAGGGAGGGATTAGGGGTGGGCACAGAGAGAAGCAGACTCCTGCTGAACAAGGTTGCCAGACACGGCTCCATCCCAGGACCCTGGGATCATGACCTGAGCTGGAGGCAGATGCTTAGCCGGCTGAGCCACCCAGGCGCCCCAACTCTGATAGTTATTTACATGCCTGCACATAGGTGCCAGAATGTGCAGGCCACTGGAGGGCTTTTAAGAGAACCAGGAGAGAATGGATATGACAAACTGTACTGATCCAAAGCAGGACAAAATTCACTCTCCTGGAAAAATAATTTTTATAGAAAAAAAAATTCTAATATATACAGGAAACATTTTTCTAGAGCTATTGCTCAAATCAAATAATTACAGTATCTGACTTAAGACAGCAAGTTCTCAAATCTCCTACTAATGAATCTAAACAAATTCTTTTTTAAAATCCTTGAGTCACAAGTGTCTTCTTGAACTCTTCCAGGGACAGGAAGCTCCCTATCCCTACCCCAAATAGTGGTCTCCTCCATAGTTGGACCCTTTGCTTCCCACACTCGCCCCATTCAGCTTAACCACCTGTCCTTGTCGCAGGCATCTGTGGACCTCCCTGGTCACTCTTGCACTTGTCAGTTGCTCCAGCAAATGGCTTGTGGTCCAACGTTCAATACTCATGGGGAGCAACTTTATTTCCACTCACACTCAGTAACAACACTTGGAACTTTGTCGTTTCTGGAAATGGCTTCATCTTTGAAATTTTCAATATCATCCCTCTCTCGTCATGACTTAGGATCACCTCATTCCCTGTTTCTCACTTCCGTTTGGCCTGCTCTTCAACTCTGAGCTCTCCTTCCTGCTACTCCCTCCCTCCCGATCCCCCCTCACTCTCAACCTACCAGATCTGTTCCTCTTCGATCTGTCCCCCACCCTTAGTCCTGGGATCTAAAAAATGAATCCAAACAGCTCTCAGAAAATTCAGCTCACTAGTTGCCCCTACATCTCCTACCCCTCAAATTAAACACTTCTCACTTCCTCAACTGTCTTTTCTCTCCTAGCAGTTTTTCCCTCAACTGGATCATCTTCATTAGCATATGTAAGTGCTATTAGTTCTCCCACCTTGGGAGGAGAAAAGACCTCTTTTAAACCCCTGTGCCTCCTGCAGCTCATTACTTCCCATCCATTTAGAAAAGACCAAAAAAACCAAACTTTTTACTACTCACTCTCTTCAATTTTTAGCTCCTATTCTCCTTTGATTTCTCTCCTAGCTCTGGACACTGGGAATACAGCACAGCTTAGTTTTGGAACCCCTTCTCTACCCTACCGACATACCCCCACCCCCCGCCAGGCTCATGACTTGAGTTGCCACCTACACCAGCAATGGAGCACGTACCTCTCCAGACCCTTAGATCCAACTGCTCACCTAACACCTCTAAGCGCATGACTAAAAAGAATCTCCCAATTTAGCATATCCCAAACTGGGCTCCTGATATTCCCTCCAAAATTTGCTTCTTTGGCAGCTCTCCTCGTTCCAGTGAATGGCAACTTTATTTTTCTGGTGGTGTGGAGTGCAAAGCTTGGAGGTATCCTCACGCCCTCTCTCCTACTCTCCAGCCACTTCTGGTCCGCCAGCAGGTCCTCCTGGCTCTACCTCCAACATCCGTCCAGGGGCCGCGCGCCTCACTGTCGCCACCTGCTACCACGCTGAGCCTGAGCCGCGCCGCCCTGATCTCCTTTGTCCTTTGTCCCCTTCCCTTGCTTCCCCTCCGGCGACTCTCCACAGAACAGCCAGCACGACCCAGTCAGACCGTGTCCGGTGCAGTCAGTCCTCTGCTCAGGATCTTCCCGCCGCTACCGATTTCTCTCAGAAAAAGCCCAGAAGCCAGTTCCACGCTATATGTTAACTGACTTGAGTGATAGAGAAAAGAAAAAAGAAAAGATTAAGTCAAAAATACATATATAAAAATAAAAACAATGACTTTGCCACAAACAAAAAAAAAAAAAAGAAAGAAAGAAAAGGCAAAAGCCGAAGTCCTTGCCGTGACCAGCGGGCTGGCACATTCTGGCCCTTGCTCTGGCACCTGTTATACCTGTTGGGTCTCTAAGCCACCCCCCCCCCCCCCCCCCGCGCCCTCTCCTCCTGAGCCACCTGCAGCCTTCCACTTCCTTCCTGGCGTTGCTGCCCCTTGCGTGGGCTGCCCTGCCATGTCCTTTGGGGCTTTGCTGAAGAATCTTCTCTGGGAGTCCTCCCCTAACCAAGTAAGACTTAATCCCCCCTCCCTGACTCTTCCCTACCCCACCCCCAAGTTAATTTTTTTCTCTCTTAGCTAGCAGTTCTCACTAGCAATTTATGTTTTATCTATCTTCTTTATTGTTTGGCTTTTCCACTAGACTGTTAAGTTCCACTAGGGTAGGTTTTTTTTTTTGGGGGGGGGTTGTAGGCATTAACCATAATTCTATTATCTAAATTTTTAAATATATATATATAGAGAGAGGGAGAAAGAGTGGCGCGGGGGTGGGGGGGAGGTAGAGGAAAGGGAGAGGGAATCTTAAGCAGGCTCCATCCAGCACGGGGCCTACGTGGGGTCCCTCTCATTGCCCAAGATCATGAGCTGAGCTGAGGTCAAGAGTCAGTAGCTCAGCCGACTAAGCTGCCCAGGTGCCCCACGGGTAGAGTTTTTGTTTTATCTCCAACCCTTAGATAAATTCCTGGCACAGAGAAGGTGCACAGTAATTATTTGTTGAATAAATGGTTTCCCAACATATCAACATGAGCATATTGACTTTCTCTACCTTGGGAACATTTCCCCAGAGAACTCAGCCAGTGTAGTCGGAGTGGAGTCGGCCACAGCAGGATCAAGACTGGGGAGAGCTTGGCTGGCATGGCTGCCCCAAGGCCAAGGAAAGGGCCCACATGGTCAGGAGACTGATTCCACAGATGGGGCTTGAACAGGTGAGTATGTTGAGGCTTCCCCTGCTGGAGAAGGGAAGCTAGACCAGATGCTCTGGTGATGCACAGGGACTGGAGAATGTGGTATATATAGGTGTATATGGAAGGCATCAGGAGTGGGCTTGCTGGCAGGGTGGGGTGGCCTGGTGGGGGGGTGAGGTCTGGGTTGGGAGGGCAGCGGGAAAAACCCTCTGGGGCACGAGTGAGCTGAGGCTGGTGAGCAGATGTGCAAACAGAGTTAGGGAGCTACTGCTAGCCTGGTGACTGGGGTCAGCTTCTGGAAAGACTGGGGAAAGGTGCTTACTGGGCCCACAAGGTCTGGGACCCTGCCACAGCTGTAGGGATACCCCCCACCTCACCCTGATGGGGGTTAGATCCTGCAGCAAGGGCAAGAGAAAGCAAAATGCGACCCGGGGCCACCAGAGGCCCCCTTCCTACCATGTCTCTCCAGTGCTCCCTACTGAGAGGTTTAACCATGTGCTCCTGTGACCCTCCTGACCTGTGAGAGAATTTATTTCCTTTTACGATTAAGTATTGAGAAACTCAGATAGTCCGTACATGCTGTGGGGTACCAATGGAACACATTCTAAGAATCTGTGGACAAAGTCAGAAAATCTTACCCCTAAAATGGGAGGGGTAAGATTCACATTTTGAAACTAGTAAGAATCCAGCTGACATGGATGGGAGTGGCTATCTGTGGAAACCTGCGAAAATAACATACTGTAGTAATGACTTCTAAAGATATTGCTGCTAAGACCAGGGCACAATCTAAATCTCAGACAGGTCTAAGTCATCTCCCTGAGAGACAGAAATTTTAAATACTAACAACCAGGGCTAAATGGATGGGAAGACTCAGAATTCAGAAGTCAAGGATACTTTTAAAAAGAGCATTTTAGAGGATAGGAATTTGTCACTACATCCCTAACACTTCTGGGATTCTGATTTTGCTAATATAGCCAAAAAAATTCTCCTGACAATGGAAAAGGACAATTTATCTGGTTCTAAAGTTTTTTTTTTTTATTTTTTTTTTTTTTTTTTATTTATTCGTGAGAGACACAGAGAGGCAGAGACACAGGCAGAGGGAGAAGCAGGCTCCGTGCAGGGAGCCCGATACAGGACTCGATCCTGGGACCCTGGGGTTACACCCTGGGCCGAAGGCAGACGCTCAACCACTGAGCCACCCAGGTGCCCCTGGGTTCTAAGGACATAGCTAAATCCCTTCCCAATTTTTTGCTATAATAGAGAAACTTGAAATAGTGGTCGGCAAACTTTTTCCGTGAAGGGCCAGCTGGTGAATATTTTCAGCTTTTCAGGCTATTAGGTCTCTGTCACAACTACTCAATTCAATCACATATGGTGCAAAACCAGACCACAGATAATACTAAATAAACATGTGTGGCTGTGTTCCAGGAAAACTTGATTTACAAAAACAGGATGTGGCCAGATATGGCCTGTGGGCTTTAGCTTGCTGACCTCTAGCTAACCTATTATTTGATGTCCAGATTGGTGCAGCTAACCAACTAAGTGGGAAGGGGTGTCTTGGGAATCCTAGATACAGGGCATACCACAGATCAGCATCTTGGGGTCTGGTCATATGGGTCAGTTTTCTGGGAACTGATCAGTTCTGGATGAACTAACAGTTGAGTCCCTAACTTTGGAAAGTTGATTCCCAAAGAGACTTGACCTTGCGGGTCTAGCTTGAGTGGCTCATCTGTCTCATTCATTTATCAATCTCTCTTCCTCCTTTCACAGTCTCTAAATGACAGCCCCTTATGCTAATCATTCATCATTCATTCATTCATCATTCATTCATTCATTCATCATGATAGACACAGAGAGAAAGAGGCAGAGGCACAGGCAGAGGGAGAAGCAGGCTCCATGCAGGGAGCCTGCCGCGGAACTCGATCCTGGGACTCCAGGATCACGCCCTGGGCCAAAGGCAGGAGCTAAACCACTGAGCCACCCAGGGATCCCCCCATCTTTATTATTAATAAGGTTTATAAGTACATTCTACTAACCAAACAGGGCTGCTTTTTTCTAGGTTTTTTTTTAATTTTTTTATTTATTTATGTAGAGAGAGAGAGAGAGAGAGAGAGAGCAGACACACAGGCAGAGGGAGAAGCAGGCTCCATGCACCGGGAGCCCGATGTGGGATTCGATCCTGGGTCTCCAGGATTGCACCCTGGGCCAAAGGCAGGCGCCAAACTGCTGCGCCACCCAGGGATCCCTTTTCTAGGTTTAATAATCGGTCGACATGTAAAATATTTGAGTATAAGAGAAAATACTCAGTTATAACAGTCCAGGTATTACCATGAAGAGTTGTCACCTGCGTTAAAAACACAAAACCTTATGAAAAATTTTACTCTAGCCAGCTTGGGCTGCCAAAACTAAGCACGCCAGACTGGGAGGCTTAAACAACAGGAATTTCTCTCTCACTGCTCGGACTGGAAGGCCAAGATCAAGGTGCTGGCTAACTCGGTTCCTAGGGAAGGCCTTCCTCCTGGCTTTGGGAAGGTTGCCTCCTGCATCCTCACAAGAGAGTTCATTGGCTCTGGTCTTTCTTCCTCTTCTCATAAGGGCGCTAATCCCACCGTGGGGCCCCACCCTCATGACCTCATCTAAACCTAATTACCTCCCAGATGGCCCACCTTCAAATACTAGCACTGGGGGGAGAGGCATCAACGTAACCCTGCAGGGCAGGGATACAATTCAGTCCAGAGTAGATTATTTTTGTTTCTGTATGAAATTGTCATTAAAGAAACCAGGAAGGAGTTGAAAACCTAACCAGGGAGCTCCAGTGAACTGTTACCGAGCAATGCTTTCCAGGGTATAATTAATGTTCCCTAATTGTCAAGGGACGCGGTTATACGATAAATTATTCATGATAACTGACATTATATAACCCAGATGGAAGGTGGGCATTATGCATGTGTTATTTGGGGGGTGGGTCCGCGTCCTGGCCCATGCCTCAGTCTTGTGGCTTCCCGAGCCCCTTGCTCTGGCTGATCAGCTCAGCTCCTGTTCTTCACTAGGCCCTTTTGCTTGATGACTCAGTTTGACTTTTTTGCATGGATTCTGACTACTTCAGCTCCCTTTGCTGGGCTCCCAGCCAGGTCCACCCACTGAAATAATAAATAAGAGTTTCTGTCCTAAACTGACGGGTGACTGAGCTGACCCTGCCCCAGCCTCCTCCTCAAGACCTGGGTTAGGGGAACATTTTCCACTGTACATAATTTTCTCTCAAGAGACCTCAGAGTTAGAGTCAAGTCCCTCGGGCCATATTTTTCACACCACTTTTCACCTTGACTGCATCAAGATTAGTACCAATGGGTGGCGTGGGGTGGGAAAGGGAGCGGTTTAGCCCACTTAAAATCTCCTTTAGCCCCTTACCCTCAGCCACTCTAAATAAACCTAAGGTTGAAGTAAAGATGGTTTATCTTGAATACAAGTCCCCTAACTCTCCCCACCTTCCAACCGGATTGCTATCTTACGCCTTCTATAGAACTTCAGGAGCCACCGCTGAGCGTGTACGCACAGAAGAAAACACACACACACACACACACACACACGCATGCACACACACACAAGGTCATGGGATCTGGTGCCTCCGTTCCCACCCTTCCATTCTCACCAAGTCAGTGTGGGGCAAATACAGCGATCACTTTGCTAATCTGTGTCATAAAACCATTAAAGTTATTCTCCTTTCTCTAGTTTCTTCCTACGGCGGTCCAACTGGCAGTACTGACCCTGAGTTCTTAGTCCTCTGCTTTCATCATGGTACTCTCACTCCTCAGAAGCCTATTATGGCTTCCTAAAGTCAAAAGGTTATGTCTTCAGTTTGGTCTCCAAAGTCCTTCACAGTCTGGCCCCCAAATACCTTTCCAGACTTACCTATTACTCTGAAAGAACTTTCCACTGGGTAAAAGGGGTCAACTCATTATTTTTCAACCCACTTTGGGTGGTTCCTCACCTTTGGGCCTCTCTTAAAGCCCTTTCCCGCCCAACCCCGACTCAGGTCTCACGTGTCTTCTGACCCCCAACCTGGGGTCTGGTGTATACATGCTTGCCTTTCTCTCCGCCCTCCAGCTACTCCACCAGGACGTCTCTGTGCAAATTCCCAAGCTGCTTCTTCCTTAACTCTTTACTTTGACATATTTTGAATAATTTGTTTACCTTGGATTACCTCCTTCCTTCCCTGATCTAGGGGTTCACTCTCAATCCTTCCAAATGTCCACAATGGAACTTTCCAGTGACTCTTTTTAAATCCTAGTTTGGATTACAGAAATTTTGTTACAGAATTATTAAAACACAGCTCTCTCGGCCCTCCCTCCTGCTCCTCTCTCGTGTATCTTCCAACACACCCGGAAAGTCCTTAACAGAAGGCCCACACACCCAGGAACCCCGCTGGCTCGCCCGGGGGGTGGGGGGGGGTGGGGGTGGGGGTGGGGTGGGGGGGTGTTCTACCAACTTGCCCTTGGCTCCTACTCTTCGCTTGGGCCTGCTCTCCTCCCTGCGGGGCTGGGTCCCTCGCTGCAGTCGGGGTTCTGTGCAAATGTCACTCAGGGGCGCCTGTCCTAACACTACCTTAAGTTAAAATAACCCCTTTCCATCACGAGCTATCCCCTTCATTCTCCTTTATTTTTCCTTAGGGTGCTTACCACTATCAACGTATTACACATGCATTTGCCAATTTTCTACCTTGTCCACGAGGCCGAGACCTTTCGTCTGCTTTTTGTCACCGTTAGATTTGTGCCTGGCACAGACTAGGTATTTAATAATTATTTAATGACTAAATCAATGAACAGGTGGGCTTTTCTGTAGTTTGCGTAGAAATTAAAAAAAAAAAAAATCCTGCTACTGGTGTTTGTTCCTAGTTTGGCAACACAACAGTCCTTGTCATTGTGGGGATGTCTGCAAAGGGGTTGGACTTCTCCCAAGTAGACGTAGCAAGCGTGGTATTAGATGGCAGGGATTAAACCAGAATGGCTTTGCTCCAGGGCAGAGTGGTACCCAGCCCTGGAGAAGTGGCCTCCTCCACTTACCCACAGGGAAGATCCTATCTTGCAGGGCACTTAAAGCTCTAAAGTAGTTTCCTTTTTCATGCAGATGACTCTAATTGCTCCTGAAGCACTTAATACCTGAAGAAATGTTAGTTCATTTCTATTGGAGCCTAAAGTAGCCAATCTCTCACCTTGGGTTGCTTTGTTTTTATTCTCTTGATTAAGTTGATTTTGACCAATAACAGTACGGTAGGCCAAAGATTTTTATCTGATCAAATCAGCATAGGAGACTATTATGATGGCAGCTCAAAGAGTCCTAGTCTTGAATGTTACAATGAATCCAGGTAAAGGAAATCCTAAATTTATCTCTTTTTAAAAAAAGGAAATTTAAAAAATCAGTATTTTTAAACTTTATTTTATTTTTTTAAAAAGATTTTATTTGGGACGCCTGGGGGAGCTCAGCGGGTGAGTGCCTGCCTTCGGCTCAGGGCATGATCCTGGAGTCCTGGGATCAAATCCCACATTGGGCTCCCTGCATGGAGCCTGCTTCTCCCTCTATGTCTCTGCCTCTCTCTGTGTGTCTCTCGTGAATAAATAAAATCTATTTATTTTTTTTTAACGACTTATTTATTTATTTGAGAGAGAGAGCATAAGCAGGGGAGAGGGACAGAGGGAGAAGCTGACTCCTCACTGAGCAGAGAGCCCAACATTGGGCTCAATCTCAGGACCCTAAGATCATGATCTAAGCCACCCAGGCACCCCTAAGTTTTTATTTTTAACGAGATTTTTAAAAAGTTCATCAGACACCCATGTGAGATTCTTTCAGTATTACTTTGAACTTTTCAAAGTACATAGTGTAAACAAAAGTTACCTTACTGAGGGGTGCTTGGGTGGCTCAGCAGTTGAGCTGGGATTCTTAGTTTCAGTTCAGGCCATGATCTCTGGGTGTGGGGTCAGGCTCCACGTTGGGGTCCATGCTTGGTGGGGAGTCTGCTTGAGATTCTCTCCCCTTTGTCCCTCTCCCTGTTCACATGTACTCTTTCTTTCTCAAATAGATAAATCTCTTTTTAAAACAAAAGGCTTATCTATTTTCTTTTTTTAAAAATTTTTATTTATTTATTTATTTATGATAGTCACAGAGAGAGAGAGAGAGAGGCAGAGACACAGGCAGAGGGAGAAGCAGGCTCCATGCACTGGGAGCCCGACGTGGGATTCGATCCCGGGTCTCCAGGATCGCGCCCTGGGCCAAAGGCAGGCGCCAAACCGCTGCGCCACCCAGGGATCCCAAGGCTTATCTATTTTCAACTGAAAAAATGGCCCATCAACATCTTTATTTTTCCTAAATTGTCTCACAAAAAATTTATCCTATTAGCCTAAAGAGAAACCTGCACAAAGCAGTATGCTATTTTAATCATCCTTTTTCTCTTAAAAGGTAGTGAGTGACCTCTGGAGGCAATTGGAAAAAGTACCTGCCACTTTCAGAACTGAAGAAGCGGGGAGAATTAGAAAGTAGTAGATCCTTCCATTTAGCGGTTTTTGTTTTTTTGCAAGTTTAATCAGGGTGAAATAAAACATTAAACTTTAAAATTAGTTTACTGATTTTATTTTATTTTTTTATTTTTTTTTTAAAATTTTTACTTATTTATGATAGTCACACACACAGAGAGAGAGGCAGAGACACAGGCAGAGGGAGAAGCAGGCTCCATGCACCGGGAGCCCGACGTGGGATTCGATCCCGGGTCTCCAGGATCGGGCCCTGGGCCAAAGGCAGGCGCTAAACCGCTGCGCCACCCAGGGATCCCAGTTTACTGATTTTAATTCACTTAAGTAATATTTATTAAGTATATACTTCAATGCCTGCAGGGGAGATAGAGACACAAAACTTTGAGCTTACAATCTATTAGGAAACTAAAGCTAAGTGCTAAGATATTTATAATACAAGCTAGAATGTGTAAGAAAATTGAGGAGTGGCATAACTATCCAGGAATTCAGATTTTTGGCTAGGATGATCGGAGAAAGTCTACTACAAACATTTACTGAAGACCCATGTGTGCCAGGCACTATGCTAAGGGACAAATGAGATACAGTGCCTTCCCTTCAGACACAGAGTACGTAGGGAAGATGACACATAAATAGGAACATTCTGTATGAAGTAAGTGGACTCTTAGAATTACACACTAAGGAGCGGAACTAAAACAGCCTGGAGACAGAGAGGAGAGGAGGGTCAGGAAAGGCTTGTTAGAGGAAGTAACACCTAAGTGGATTCTTTTTTTTTTTTTTTTAAGGTTTTATTTATGTATTTAGAGTATTTAGAGACAGAGCACAAGCCTGGGGAGGGACAGAAGGGAAGACGAGGGGGAACATCTCCACCTCTGGTCTCCACGCAGGGCTCAATCCCAAGATCCTGCGGTCACAACCTGAGCCAAAACCGACCGAGCCACCCAGGTGCCCCTTGCCTAAGTGGATTCTTAAAGATAGAAGAGTTCTGGTCCAGCTTTGGCATCATAAGCCTACTCTCGTCCATCTCTCCCACTAACAACTAAAAACTCATGACAAAATTCAGGTAACAACTGCCCCAGGACTCTGAAAAGTAAAACACTGCGAAGGGGAGGCCTTGGAAAAGAAACCTGGAAGAGGATGGGCTTCCTGGCCTATTTTCCTCTTTTTTTCTTGCAGTTTTGTCCTGAGAGGTCTCATGTGAGGACGGCTGGGTAGCTGCATGGGTAGCTAACACTGTGATAGAAACCCTGTCCCTCCATCCAGGGAACTGAGGAAAGGGTCCTCTGTGAGTTGGGAAGTGAGTAGGGACGAGAGAGAGGACAGGGTACAGAAAGTGATTCCTAATTTTGTGTGGGAACCACTGTAAATCTTCGATTCTCTGCTGAGTCGCCCTTGTCTGCAAGACACCCAACGCAGCACAGCAAAGGCCCTGACAGCTAGCCGTCGAACACCGTGGGCCAAAGCTCAGACTTGCCCGAGTGGCACCTGTTCGGGACAGACCCAGAGCAACAGAGCAGAGGCTGGGAAAGCTGAACTGAGATCGAAACCATCACCCACCCTTAAGCAGGTAAGTTTGCCTGCTTAAACAAACATACATTCTCCAGAGGAGGATTTTAACAGGATCCAGAGTCAGCACAACATTAATGGTTACACGGTCCGGGATGCAAAAGAAAATGACTTGCAATAGAAGGAACCCTGTTTGTTTGTTTATTTATTTGATATATATTTTTTAAGATTATATTTATTTATTCATGATAGACACAGACAGAGAGAGAGAGAGGCAGAGACACAGGCAGAGGGAGAAGCAGGCTCCATGCCGGTAGCCTGACGTGGGACTCAATCCTGGGACTCCAGGATCATGCCCTGGGCCAAAGGCAGGCGCTAAACCGCTGAGCCACCCAGGGATCCCCAGGAACCCTGTATAAAATGAAGTCTGGAGGCCAGCAGGGGGGCTCTCAGGCCCTGCCACTCGTGGTCAGTTGCAGACCAAATTCAGAAAACATACCTTGCTGGGGGCAAGCTGGTTACTACTTCTGATTAGGGCCTTACTATATCCCAGCAGGAAGGCGGAGAGGTTTTCCTCCTCCTCTGGCAACAGCCCACCCAGTGAGACTGTTACAACTCAGCCACTGAAAAGCTACTGTACTCTGAATTCCCAGTTTCCTCCAGCAAACACTGGTTTGTAACAGTTCTCTCAACTTCCCCTTTTCCTCGATAAAAGACGAGTCTTCTCCTTTGTTCTCCAGACTTGCTAATGGTTTTCCCACAGCTTCTTGTCCCAGACTGCAATTCTCTGCTATTCCCAAATAAATTCATTTTTTGCTGGTAAAATAACTGGCTGTTTTATTTCTCATTTACTTATTTTTTAAAGATTTTATTTATTCATGAGAGACACAGAGACATAGGCAGAGGGAGGAGAAGTAGGCCCCCTGCAGTGAGCCCTATGATCTCCGGACTCTGGGGTCACACCCTGAGCTGAAGGCTGACGCTCAACCACAGAGCCTCCCAGGTGTTCCTGGCTGTTTTATTTTTAAGGTTAACACCTGTCATACAAAGAACCAGGAAAATGTGGCCAAATCCTGAGGGAAAAGGCAATCACTGTAACAACCCTGAGATAACACAGGTGTTGGAATGTTCAGACTAAGATGCTAAAGCAGCTATGATGTATGGGGTGGGGGAGAGATAAACACACATGAAATAAATGTAAAGAAAGACACTTTCAGCAGAGGAACAAAGTATGAAAAAGAACTAAGTGGAAATTTTCAACTGAAAAGTACAGTGTCTGAAAGAAACAAGTTCACTGGATAGGTGTAATAGCACAACGGAGATGATGAAAGAAAGCGGCAGTGAACTTGAAGATAGATTAGTCAACAGAAATGATGTAAGCTGAAGAGCAGAATGGGATAAAAAGCCTGGAAAAAACCAGGACCCAGGAGCATCAGGGACTTGTGCAACAATTATCAAAAGGTCTAACATACAAGTCACTGGAGTCCCAGAAAGGTGAAAGAGGCTGAGGAAAATTATGTGAAAAAATAATGGCTAAAAACTTCCCAGATTTGGTGAAAAACATATATTTATGGATTCCAGGATCTTGGTGAACTCTGGCACTTAAATTCAAAGAAAACCATGCCTAGATGTCTCTAAACCAAACTATATAAAGAGCAAGGACTGAATGCAGAATCCAGGGTAGCCGGATGAAACTGGAATAACACATCTGACTGTGGAAACCAAGGGACCATGAATCAGAAGCCTATAGCCAGTGAAAATATTCTTGGTAATGAAGGTGAAATAAAGACATTCTGAGATGAAGGAAAACTCAGAAAGCTATTGTCAACAGAACCAGTGTAAAAACAAAAACAAAACAAAACAAAACAAAAAAAAGTGCTGGGAATGAAGGGAAAGGATACCAGAGGGAAGACCTGGATGTTTAGGAATGAAGGATGAGCAACAGAGAATTTAACTATCTGGGTTAATATAAAAATCCTTATTTTTTTCTCTTAAATTCTTTAAAATATGTATGATTATTGAGAAGATAGGCAGGAATAAGGCAGGTGCTCTTAGGGGAGACTAAGCTACTGTCACAAAGATTCAGTGATTTAAGCAACAAGGTTTGGGGGCACCTGGGTGGCTCAGTAGGTTAAACACACGACTCTAGATTTTGGCTCAGGTCATGGTCTCAGTTGTGAGATGGAGCCCCATGTCGGCTCCATACTCATCAGGGAGTCTGCTTGAGGCTCTCACTCTCTCTCTCCCCCTCCCCAACTCTCTAAAAATAAATAGATAAATCTTTTTAAAAAATAGGTCTTATTTTCAATTTTTTAATTTAAATTTAATTAACATATAATGTATTATTGGTTTTATTTTTTCCTCTTCCCCTATGACCTTCTGTTTTGTTTCTTAAATTCCACATATGGGTGAGATCATATGATGATTGCCTTTCTCTGATTGTCTTATTTCCGCTTAGCATTAATACCCTCTAGCTCCATCCAGGTTGAAAAAAACCAACAGGTTTTTTTAACAGTCAGAGGGAAGAATTCTCTCTGGGCTTTCTGCTCACATTCTATTGGCATCCGTAACTGCAAATTCAGCTGGGAAATGTAGAGGAGCTGGGGTAGTCATGCTCTGGGTTAGAACTTAAGCGCTTAGGAAGAAAGGGCAAATGGATTTTGATGGATAGCTAGCAGCCTCTCCCACAGCAGGTGAAAGACAAAGGAGGCATTTTGGATCCAGGGGACGATGCGATCACAGGTAAGGAAGCGAGAAACCACACGTAAGGGACTAATAGCAATACTGATGTTGTTGGAATGTGAACAAAGAGATAGAGCTAGAGTGGTGGGTGGGAGCAAATGAAGTCGGATTATATTCTCGAAAGGTTTTATGCAGCAGATTTTCATTTCAGGGAGCTACTCAGGGGTGAAAGGTGGGTGAACAGAAGACTAGAGTGGGGGGACCAATTAGGAGCTAGGGGAATAGTTTTGGTGAGAGGTGAAAAAGTTTTATTTTTTAAAGATTTATTTATTTATTCATGAGAGACATAGAGAGAAAGGCAGAGACACAAGGAAGAGGGAGAAGCAGGCTCCTTGCAGGGAGCCTGATGTGGGACTGGATCCTGGATCCTGGGACCAGGCCCCGAGCCAAAGGAAGACGCCCATCTGCTTGTCCCAAAAAAGTTTTAAATGTAGGCTGTGATAAGGGCACCTGGGTGGCTCAGTCAGTTAATCATCTGCCCTCAGCTCAGGTCATGATTCCAGGGTCCTAGGGTCGAGTCCCAAGTCGGGCTCCCTGCTTGGCGGGGAGCCTGCTGCTCCCTCTGCCTGCTGCTCCCCCTGCTGGTGTGCATTCTCTTTCTCTCTCTCTCTCTCTCTCAAATAAATACAATCTTTAAAGTAGGCTGTGATAATAGCATAGAGGCTGGGTTTTAGAAATACCTACAGAGGTAAAATGGTCAGGACTTGGTGAGGAGAGAGAAAGAAAGAAGCTTCAAGGCAGGATCTCCCATTCCTTACAAAGATGACAGGTGGGTGGTGATGTCAGCGTGGAGTATTTGCCCAGAACGCAGAGCAGGGGCAAATTTATTTGGGGGCGGGGGGAAGGAGTTTGGTTTTAGGTGATAAAGATGAAACACTGTGAAGCTTGAGTTCCTACAGAACATTTTTGCTTGTAGAGATCTCAGTGAGCCAGTCTGAAGACAGAACTCCTCCATGGAGGAGGCACCCGAAATCCTTTGTAATTCGGACCTAATCCACCTTTCACAGAACCTGCTATGCTCTTTAATACAGACACCTGCAGTTTCAGCCACATCAGTCTCTTCTCAAAGCGGCCTTCCGTGACCCTGACGTCTAAAGCAGGTTCTGCTACGGCACAGCATCTGTGCTTGGAGGTAAACTGGGAAGGGCTTCGTGACCCAGTGGAGGGGGCTGGAGGGCTGGCTGGGCTGGAAGGGTCTGTAGTCCGGGAGCCTAAGTGGGGAGAGGTAGTCGGGTGCAGAAGAACATTTCCAACGGGTAATAAAACAGACATTTACACGTCTGGAGGCCGCGATCTGGTCAAAGAGCAGAAAGGCAACGGAGAGCTGGAATCGGATCAGGAGGACCAGGCCTGCCGTCCCCGCTGGCGCACCTGCAGCCCGGGCCCCTGGAAATCCGTGTCCCGCTGCGCTGGGCGACAACGGCGGCGTGGTTTGCGGGGCCGGGGCCGGGGCCGGGGCCTGCAACCGCCCTGGGCTGAGCTCCGGCCGCCCCCCGCCCCGTCCGCCTGCCCCGGCCAAGCCGCTGCTCAGCCCGACGTAACCGTCCGGCCGCACGCGGAGCCAGCGCACCTGCACGGCTGCCTCGGGGTTCCCGGAGACGCTTCCGCACGCGGCCGACAGCTGGCGAGCATCTCCAAGGGGCGCGGATGAGGACGGCACGCCTGGACGCTGTCCCGGGGCTCAGCCCTCGGGCGGGCTCCGCCCTGCGGAGGCACTAACCCGCCTTCCCCTCAGTACCGGGGCGCGGCCGCGTCTTACCTCACCGTCCCCGCGCCCCGGGCTGCAGCTGCCGCTCCCTCCGCCGCGGGGCGCCCGCTCGCCAGGCCTCCGTGGGCTCCGCCGCGCGTGTCACGGGGCCGCCCGCGGAGGAGTCTCCCAGGCAACCACACAAACTTCCGGTTTGGGAGCGAGCGCCGCGGCGGGCGGGAGGCCGCACTTCCGCCACGTGACCCCGCGCGGCCCCCGGGCGTGCTGACAGGCGGGCGTCGCGAGTTCGGAAGGCCGGCTTCCGGGGGGGCGGGGCCTTGGGGGGCGGGGCCAGGGCTCGGCGGCCGGCCCCCGAGGCGCCGATAGGCCGCCGTGCGGGAGGGGCGGGGCCTCCGGGCCTTGGGGGGCGGGGCCAGGGCTCGGCCGCCGGTCCCCGAGGCGCCGCCGGGCCTGGAGGGGCGGGGCCTCCGGGCCTGGGGGCGGGGCTCGGCGGCGGGTCCCCGAGGCGCGGCGGGGCGGCCGCCTGAGCGCTTCTCCGCAGCCGCCGAGCTGGAGCTGGAGCTGGAGCTGGGCGTGCGCGGGGCCGGGGCGCCGGCTGCCGGGCAGCGGCTCCTCCAGGCCGAGGCCGCGGCCGCGGCCGCGGCGGAGAATGAGGCGGCGGCGCGGCGGCGGCGGCGGCGGCGGGCTCCCGGCGGGGCCGCGGGGCCGGGCGCAGGCTGCGCTGGCTCATCACCGCGGTGCTGTGCGCCGCCTTCCTGGGGCTGGTGAGCGCGGGGGCCCGAGGCTGCGGGGCCGGGGCGGGAGGTTCGCGGCTCGCCTCCGCCGCCCGCCGGCTGGTGACCTTGGGCGCGGTCGTCGGCGCCCGCCTTCGGGGCCGAATCTGCAGAACGGGCACAGCCCCGCCGCCGGAGCGCTGTTCCGTGCGAAGTTGGTTTTTCCCTGAGATCTGGGCAGCTCCCGGGGTGGGGTGGGGGTGGGGTGGGGTGGGGGGTCGGGTGTGGAGCCCCTGCCCCTCCAGCCCACGCAGATGCCAAGTTACCACCAAAGCTGTTTCCCTGGGATTTCCTCTTCCTTGTCTGGCCAGATTCAGCCGACTCCTTATGTTTGCAGATGGAGGAAACAGGCCCCGAGAGGGAAAAGGACTTTTCTGCACCACGCAGCCGGCTTTCCGTGCAGGAGCCAGGAATAAGCTCTCGTTCTGCCCGCAGCCGTGCACAGACAGACCTTGAGGTCCCCCGCGTCTTCCTTAGAGCAAACTGCAGGGCTAGAAGCGCCTTCTTCTTCTTCTTCTTCTTCTTTTTTTTTTTTTGGATTTTATTTATTTATTCATGAGACACACACACGGAGGCAGAGACAGAGGCAGAAGCAGGCCCCACGCAGGGAACCCGACGTGGGACTCGATCCCGGGTCTCCAGGGTCACGCCCTGGGCCAAAGGCGGGCGCTCAACCGCTGAGCCCCCCAGGGATCCCTAGAAACGCCTTCTGACACCCCCGTGGCTGCCCCACGACTCCCTTATTTCTGGAGGTCTCCCTGTCATCCTCGGCCTGATGTATGGGGATCTTGGGGATTCACTAGGGTGAGTCCTCTGAGGACAATCATCCCTGGTCACTCAGCGTCTTTCTCTTGAACCACAACGGATTCTTGGAGGATTTTGATGATTTGAAAAAAGAAAAATCGTTGCAGGGCACTTGTGCCAGGTCCTGTTTTGGGTGCTTTGCAGGCAGGAAGTGATTGGATTGCAGATGCAGCTCAGCCTCCCCTCCCCATACCAAGTGCTTGCTCAGCTCTCAGTTTGGGACTGCTCGGGCTTGGGCAGGACGCACACCCAAGTGTTTCAAGCAGAGCAGTCCAATTAGAAGGAATTCTTTTTTTTTTTTTTTTTTAAGATTTTATTTATTTGACAGTAAGTGAGTGAGCGTGCACGCACAGGCAGAGTGGTAGAGGAGTAGAGAGCCTGGCACTGGGCTGGATCCCAGGACCCCGGAATCACCACCTGAGCCCAAGGGCGACTCAACCAGCTGAGCCACCCAGATGCCAGTAGAATAAATTATTCTTGAAGCATAGAGCCATTAGAAACATTAAAAAAAAGTCATTTATTCATGAGAGACACAGAGAGGCAGAGACACAAGCAAAGAGAGAAGCAGGCTCCTTGCAAGGAGCTCGATGCAGGACTCGATCCCAGGACCCTGGGGTCATGCCCTGGACCGAAGGCAGCCACTCAGCCACTGATCCACCCAGGCGTCCTAAAACTTTTTTTTTTAAGTGTCCAACAAATATTCTCTCATGGCTTGGGGTTTGCTTTGAAGAAAAATCTAGGTTTAGAAATGTTTAAATTGTCTGTCTCCTGTGTATTTTGTGTGTATCAGAGGAAGGATACTGTGCAACCCAGAAATACTGCCGTTTTGACGACATCAAAAACCAGGAATAATATTTTAAGCTGCCACATAGGCAGATGTTATTTTACTGATTGTAAATAAAAGATTTTGTCTTTTTAAATTCTAGGGGATGAGTGTTGCTATACTGGGACCGACTTTTCAAGATTTGGCAACAAACGTGAACCGCAACATTAGCAGTCTTTCTCTGATTTTTGTGGGCCGTGCTTTTGGGTTTTTGAGTGGCTCTGTGATTGGTGGAATTCTTCTTGACAATATGAATCATTTTCTACTTTTGGGTGAGTAAAGACCAATTTTAGCTTTTTATGACTTTCAAGGAATTTACAATTTGTTTTTAAATATGAAATATGTTGTGTTTGACAACTCAAATGGGTAGTGTTTGCCAGGCGTTCTCAGTGGAAATCAGGTCTCCTTGGTGCCTGTTTTCATCTCAGCAGTTATAGGGAATCTGTGCTGGGCCACTCTGGAAATTTAGATTAGCCCTAGAATGTGTCACTATCTTTAGCCTTCCTGGCTGTCAGTGTAGTTTAGGCGCCACCCCTAGGATCACATTCTAGTTGTCCAAAGAACTCTGCCTGTCAGGGTTTAGGGCTGATCTGCTGGAGCCACCATAGGTCAGAAGTGAATTCCTTGAACTTGCCCCGGCTAGACCCTGGACTGAGAATGAAGGTGGGAAGTACTGGGGGCAAAATGACATAGGCTAAATTTTTGTCTCGGATGCCACATATTAATGATGCTTCCAGACCTCTCTACCTCACCCTTGAATTAGATGGCAAAGCTTTTAACTTGCTTTTTTTTTTTTTTTTTTTTAAGATTTTGTTTTATTCATGAGGGAGACAGAGACACAGGCAGAGGGAGAAGCAGGCTCCATGCAGGGAGCCCGATGTGGGACCCGATCCCGGGACCCCTGGGCTGAAGGCAGGCACTAAACCGCTAAGCCACCCAGGGATCCCTAACTTGCTCTTTTTTGAATAAATAGACATGTTGAAAGAAAATCTGGATTAATGTCATAAAACCGCTTTGGAAGTAAGGAGAATAATTTGTTGTTGATGAATAAATGAATAATCACTCAGATTTCCCAGGTGGGTTGAGAACATACAGATCTCTTGTATTTCCTTCCCTACTCTCAAGCTAAATTGCTTAATACATTTCTCCTACAAGCTATTATAACTGCATTTTATTTTTCTCCTAATTTTTAATTTATTTTTTATTATTTATTTATTTTTTATTTTTTCTCCTAATTTTTTAATCTCATATCTAAACGTCTCTTTTTATTTATTTAAAAAATTTTTTTAAAGAGATTTATTTACTTATTCATGAGAGACACAGACTGAGAGATAGAGGCAGAGACACAAGCAGAGGGAGAAGCAGGCTCCATGCAGGGAGCCTGATGTGGGACTCGATCCCGGATCCCTGGATCATGACCTGAGCCAAAGGCAGGCGCTCAACTGCTGAGCCACCCAGGCGTCCCTTAACATCTCTTTTAAAAAATATGAAATATTTAAATAAGTAATTTTTGCATTATCTGCTTTGCTATAAAACTTTGCCCTGTAGGATGTGGTTTGATTATCAGCAATGGTGGAAATGTACTCATGTTAGGATAACTTATATTTTATGGTCCATAAAGATTAGGAAAGCTTGCAAAGGAAATAACCATTTGTAGATGCTGAACCTCTCATTCACTTACTGTTACTCAATTGTAATTTGACCTGCTTTGCATTTATGGGAGGGTTTATGATGTTGACTTGATTCAGGACTCTTTGTGTGAATATTGTTTTTTATAGCTGACTTTTACCTTTCTTCTCAGGAATGTCAATGTTGGCTACCACAGTTGGTCTTTATCTTGTTCCCTTTTGTAAGACAGCGGTGTTATTGATCATCATGATGTCCGTCTTTGGTGTTTCAATTGGCATTCTGGATACAGGTCAGTGAGCCCTTCACTGTCATCTCTGGGAATAGAGACTTTCTACTAGAAAAAGAGCAGGTGACATCAACTTGTCATTTGCAGTGTGAAATGATACCGACCTACTGAATAGTTCATGGGGTCACCCAGTCAGAACCACCCTCTGGCAACTCTTTTTCTTGCCAAGTAGGGTGCCTGCTTTTGAGCAGCCAACCATGGAGTGAATTTAAAGAATTTTGTTCAGTGAGAGATTATTGATTTACAGTATCCAAACAGGAAAGGGTCCCCCATATGGGTAATTACAGTACAGGTGAGTGGGCTTCCATTTTGGGATAGAACTTTATCAGTGTAGTATGGGAGGAATTGATGGGTTAATAGGTTAAACCAGCTTTGGAACCGGATTTGGCTGAGGAATCCTAGAAGCAGCTATCCAATTTGAAAAGCACTCTGCCTTTTGAACTAAGAGAAACCTGTGCAGTATATTATTTTCCTTCTCTTTTTTTTCCCCCTCTCTCAAAAGCTCCTGCCTTCCTGCAGGAAATCCCCTCCATGAGTATTGGTATCTTGTAAAACCTACTAAATAACATACTTGGCATTTGTCTACCCCCGAAACCCAGGTCTCTTCTTCCCCTGCTCTACTGTTACCTGATAGGTTGGGGATATTTTATACTTTAGGCTTGGTTTGGTTGTGAAATTATGGGGTACAATTGTATGTTTATCTGCAAATATGTTTTTTTAAAAAAAAAGAGAGAGAGAAAACACAACATTTGATGCTTCTTGCCTTTTACTTTTGTTTCCTGTAATGGGCCCAGCAGAATTCTACAGTGTTCAGGTTTTTGAACCTATGTTTTGCATCTACGAGATAGATAATTCTCCTCAACTGGTAATTTGGCCATTATCTGATGATAATATATATTGACGATGTTTACAAACAAATAAGTATTCACCTCTTTCCCACTCCCCGCCCCCCCGCACCCCACCCCCACTCCCACCCCCGCCAGCCACATATTAGAACTGTCATAAAAAAAAAGCCTTGGGCTACTGTGCCTGGCTCTAGGAGGTAGTGGTTTACTAGCTTGCAGAATCCATTTGTGACGATGTGATGTTACGATGCTTGGAATTCTCCGGTGGAATTCCTTGATCATAAAATTGACTGAGTTGCAACATTTGATGACGGAGAATATCTTAGTCCTTGTGCCACAAAAAATATACTAATCTTCTTACTGATAGTAATGACCTGTTTTTTGTTAAGTTACTATGATTAAATCATTTTCCTCATCTTTCGTTGGTAGGTGGTAACGTCCTAATCTTGGCTATTTGGGGGGACAAAGGAGCCCCACACATGCAGGCCTTACACTTCAGTTTTGCCTTGGGTGCCTTTTTGGCTCCACTGCTGGCTAAATTGGCCCTGGGCACGACGACGGTGTCTGCTGCAAACCACACAGAGGCTGACTCTAACCACTCTGCTCTCAACCAGTCATCTGAAGCGGACTCAGAATCTCTCTTCAGAGTACCTGACAATATGAATTTACTGTGGGCGTACGCTATTATCGGTACTTACATTTTTGTAGTTTCTCTCTTTTTTTTCGCTCTGCTTTTTAAGAAAAGCTCAAGGCAGGAGAAAGCCAAAGCATCCGCTCAGAGGTCTCGAAGAGCTAAATACCACAATGCCCTTCTTTGTCTCCTTTTCCTGTTCTTCTTTTTCTATGTTGGAGCCGAGGTAACGTACGGTTCTTACGTTTTCTCGTTTGCGACCACCCATGCTGGCATGAAAGAAAGTGAAGCGGCGCTGTTGAACTCCGTCTTCTGGGGCACCTTTGCAGCCTGCAGGGGCCTAGCAATCTTTTTTGCTACATGTTTACTACCTGGAACCATGATTGTGTTAAGCAACATCGGCAGCCTGGCATCATCCTTACTGCTGGTGCTTTTCGACAAGAGCCCAGTTTGCCTCTGGATAGCGACTTCGGTGTACGGGGCCTCGATGGCAACCACGTTTCCTAGTGGTGTTTCTTGGATTGAGCAGTACACGACCATCCATGGGAAATCTGCCGCATTTTTTGTCGTTGGTGCTGCCTTGGGAGAAATGGCTATTCCTGCGGTAATTGGAATTCTTCAAGGGCAGTACCCTGATTTGCCTGTAGTTCTGTACACCATTTTGGGGGCCTCGATAGCCACTGCTGTTTTATTTCCCGTGCTCTATAAGTTAGCCACCTCCCCTCTCAATCAACAGCGAAAAGAACACAGGAAAAGCGAGGACCAGAAAGCTTTGCTGTCTAGTTCTGAGCTAAATGACTACGAGGAAGAGAATGAAGAAGAAGATGCAGAGAAATGGAATGAAATGGATTTTGAAGTGATTGAAATGAATGATACAATGAGAAATTCTGTAATAGAGACATCTAGAAATGTCCTGACAAAGCCCGTAGCTGAAATCTCCAGTCAATCCCACTCCAGTGCAAGAGTGTTCGAGTCCTCTCCAGCTAACAGTGGCAAGTCCCCTGTAAGTCACCTTGCAAGAAACCAGTGTAAAAGGGACTAACGCCGAGAGAAGATGGATTATTTACTGACCTCCTTGAATAACCTCTGGTTCTAAAGAAGCCAGTTAAAGCAGAGCATTAACAGATTTTCAACATGCTCTGGGGATCAAAATTCCTAGGTCAGAGTATATAGCAGATGCTACAAAGTTTTGCAAGGTTCTGCAATTCCCAGAGTTTTCCATAAAGAATGAATGGCCTCGGTCTCGTACAGCAGGGTCTTGTGAGGCTAGTGTTTGGCATGTGGCTGATGAGGTAATGTGTTACGATCTCCACCCCTCAGAGCACGCAGAGAGGGTGTTGTTGAGAAGCTGGGTGCCGTTCTGATAGCATGAAACCTTCTAGTAGTTGAGCCGAGTAGCTGAACAAATGATCAGTCATCAGCATTCTATCAGGGAAGTGGAGGAGTGTTGTTTCATAAAAAGAACAACTTTGAAAACGGACAGAGTTTTATTTATTGCTTTGCCCTCGCTGTAGTGTCGCACCAGAGAATGCTCATGCCTCATTTGATTTCTGATTTCTGTGAAGAGAACACAGAGCAGGACCCCAGAGACCTGGCTGCAAACCTTGACTGTTGCTTACTAGTTTTCCGGCCCTGCACTCGGTCACTTTACTTGAGTAGGGCCTTGTTTATCTGTCTCCTGATCTGTGATTTTATCAGTGAAAATGAGATGATTTTCAAACTAGGAATCCTTAAGTTTTAAAGTCTGTGCAAGAAAAAAAAAAAGTTTGTGCAAGATGTCAGAAATTCACATGTGCCATCCATTCTTCATTTCAAATGAGAAGTGAAACAAAATTGATAGTTGTAAGAATTCTACTGATTATGAATCTATGCCCGTTTCAGAGACTCCGTGTTTAATGACTATCTGCAAAACACATTTTTCAGTATTGTGTTTCATCAGTTCTAAGATGCACCCTTTTCTACCTTTTTTCCACAACTTTAACATCTCTGAAAGTCAGTAGTCACTTAACATCGTGACGAAATATAATCGACAGTTTATCCGTATACATATCCAAAGCAATGTTGCATGTTACAATCAGTGTCTTACAGTAATTCATTCAATTAGGAGATTTTACTATTTTTACAGATATTTTAAAAAGAAAAGTTATTTTTATATGCTGATTTTCTTGATGTTCAAATGGGATTTGGAGATGCAATGTTCCGACTTTACAGGCTGTTTCAGAGTTACTAGGTTAGTAATAGGGTGAGTAATTGGTAATGGAGTCTGAGTCTGAGCCTTGCTCTTCCAGGACTTGCTCCTCATTGCGTCCGGCTGGTCATCACATTGTAAGCGCTGTGAACTAGGCTGCAGTTTAATTTACAAAGAGGCACAGTCTTTTGCAGTGTTTGGATTATTTGTATCACCCACGCAGGGTTCTTCTGGAGTTTGAAATACCCGGGAGACCAAATAATGATTAGAAAGGGGCTTGGTGGCTAGGAGTCAGGGATCGCAAAAGGTACTTTGTATGAGTGTGGCAAAGCTGGTGTGAGCTCTCTCTCTCTCTCTTTTTTTTTTAAAGATTGTATTTGAGAGAGAGTGAGAATAAGAGAGATCACAAAGGGAGAGGAAGAGGCAGAAGCAGACTCGCCGCTGAGCAGGGAGCCTGATGTGGGGCTTGATCCCAGGACCCTGAGGTCATGACCTGAATCAAAGGCAGAGGCTCAACTAACTGAGCCACCCAGACACCCCGTGAGCTCTCTTTTGATAAAGCACTGATGGCAGCTTTTGTTTACTTCCCTTTACCACGTTTTATGGTGAAGAACATTTAATTTCTACCTGTTTGCATTCTTTGCCTTCTCTTATTTATCTAATTTCTACAAGTTTGCGTTTGTTTTTTCTTGAGTGAAATACAGTATCTTTTTTGACCACTGCCCATCCACCTTCTATACCACAATATGGGTTTGTATATAATCTAGCAATTTTAGAGAGGGCCGTTGGAGAAATTAACAGTAAAAATTCTATTCTTGCTCTTTTTTGTACTTTGCTTTTCTCTTAGCTAGACCTTGGAGACCACCTGTGTTCCATATATGCTTTTTCTCAGGTTGTTGGAAGTTAGGCAGTAGATGCTATTCGGCAGCTGGGAGGCTTGCTAGAACAGGGATTCAATCTGCAGCATCTACATTTAAGGGGTAGAAGATGTGGCTCAGGGAGAGAAGGACGATTATAAGAACATGGCCAGAAATTTGGAAATCCTCACTGGAAAATCCACTGGAGTTCCACAAACCAAAATGTGAATGGCCATATGAGATTACAGGCATTGTTAAAGTTTGATGAAGTATTTCCATATTGGAAGGATAAGACTTAGTACAATTCCAAGAATTAGCATTCATTCTAATAATCAGTTCTTAGGTAGGTGTCTGCTGATGCACAAGTAGCCAATACTGAAGTATTCTTTTGCTGAATAACAGATTTATCAGTTTACAACAACAGACATTTTTAAGTAGGCTCCATGCCCAGTGCAGAGTCCAGCATGGGGCTTGAACTCACAGCCAGGAGATCGAGACCTGAGCTGAGATCGAGAGTCGGTTGCCTAACTGACCAAACCACCCAGGCACCCCAACAACAGACATTTTTTATCTCACAGTTTCTTGGGTCAGGAATTTGGGCATGACTTCCCTAGGTCATGACTTCCCTCTGCTCAGGGTCTCATGAGACTGCAGTCAAGCTGTTGGATAGAGCTGTGCTCTTTTTTTGGAGCTTTGGGTTCTCTTCAAGGACCCTGTATGTGGTTGTTGACAGTATTCAGTTCCTTGCTGTGGTTAGGCTGAGGTCCCTGTTTTTTGTCTGGCTGTGAACTGTCACCAGTTGGTTGACAGTTCACCATTCCTAGAACCAACCATCTAGGGCCATGCAGCCCTCTGCAGACCTCTCACAACATGGCAGCCTATTTCTTCAAAGCCAGCGGGGGAATCTCTCACCTGGGTCTGCTAAGCTGGAGCCTTCTATAACATAATATAATCCCAGGAGTGGCGTCCCATCACCTTTGCCATATAATCTTGGCTAGAAGCAAGTCAGGGTTCTACCCAAACTCAAGGGGAGAGGCTAGTACAGAGATGTGACTCATCCGGGACCCCCTAGAGTGAGTTTGCTACAGTCTTGGTACCTGAAAAACAGGTTCAAGAGAACTAAAAAGTTTGAGCTGGGGACAAGAAGCCCTCAGTAGTCATCACGAGTGATTACAGATACCAAACTGAGTGAGCTAGTGTGGGCGCGGAAGGCTCCCCGTATGGCAGGCCCACCAGCCTGATAGAGGAGACTCTGTGGGGCAATAGATGGGTTCACTCAGAGTTAGGCACTTTTTCCCCTTGACATTTTATGTTCCTTCCCACTGTGCTTTTAACTTGTTCAGATGCAACTTTCTATGAGGGAAATCGGTACATTTCACTTGAGTTGTATTTTCATAGTGAAATCCAAGAACACTTTTGAGAGCATCTTTCGGTTACTCTTATTTTTTAAAGAGAAATGCTTTTTTAAAAATCAGTTTTTTATCATAAAAGTAATGAAGATGTTAAAAAGTCATGCTGGAAGATTAGGGAAGTACATAAAAATGAAAGGGACAGGTATAAAAATTTATACCAAGTTTTTATTTATTTTTTTAAAGTAAGCTCTATGCCCAGTGTAGGGCTTGAACTCACGACCCAAGATCAGTAGTTGTCTGCTCTAACAACTGAATCAGCCAGGTGCCCTTGTATAAGTAATTTATAATTCTAAACACCTAGAAAGTTTCTTAACATTTCTCATCAACATAATTTCCGGGGTAAAGGGATTAAAAAAAAAAAACTCCCCCCTACCAGATAAAGTTTCAGAAACAACTTGAATTTTTGTGTCCAGATTGTATTGACACTGTAGCCGATGGACTGGTTATTAGTTTGAAGAATTGTAATTTATTAAAAAAAACACACACACAACAAGCCTAATTGATCACTGTAGCAACACACTCCTGAAGACTGTGTGAGACCGGGATTACGTGTAAAGTGAGCGCGTTTCAGGTAGAACCATTGAGTAATGTGGATAGCTGTCTCATAACCAGAACTTTTGGTTTACCATAGCAGTGTATCACTCCTGCCACTTAAAAGTTCTCTGTTGTTTGTTTGTTTTTAAGATTTTATTTATTCATGAGAGATACAGAGAGAGGCAGAGACATTGGCAGCAAGAGAAACAGGCTCCATGCAAGGAGCCTGATGCTGGACTTGATCCCAGGACCCTGGGGTCACAACCTGAGCCAAAGGCAGATGCTCCACCACTGAGCCACCCAGGGACCCCGAGCTTAAAATGCTTGATGGCAGTAGCCATGTCCCTCTGGGATACCCTGTATCTGTGTTTGTTACGTGCCGCTTGTTTTGTTCATGGTGCTGTGAATGTGTTTGCATATGTGAACTCACAGATATTACATGTGTTTCATGTTCTCCTACACTGGGGGGGGGCACAGTGGGGGTAAAGGTAGTCGAGAAGAGATACAAAAAAGTTTATGATTCCAAGTTTGTTAGAAATGGCTCTTTTTTAATTGAAATTGTTATTGCGATTATTATAGATTTGCGTGCAATTGTGCGTAGGGTTTCTTTCTTTCTTTTTTTTTTTTTTTACAAATTTGCTGAACGAGGGCTACTTGCTCAATCTGGAGGGTAGAGAACTAGACTAATGCTTCTCATAGTTTAATGTGCATTTGAATTGCTTGTTAAAATACAGATTCTAATTGAATAGCACCTGGGGTAGGCGCTGGGATTCCATATGTCTAACGAGCTCTTATGGATGGGAAGCTGTTGCCCTGTGGACTGACCACATTTCGGGTAACAGGATTCACTTTTTTTTTTTTTTTAATTTTTATTTATTTATGATAGTCACAGAGAGAGAGAGAGAGAGAGAGAGAGAGGCAGAGGGAGAGGGAGAAGCAGGCTCCATGCACCGGGAGCCCGATGTGGGATTCGATCCCGGGTCTCCAGGATCGCGCCCTGGGCCAAAGGCAGGCGCCAAACCGCTGCGCCACCCAGGGATCCCCCAGGATTCACTTTTTGAGAGGGTCAAATTCTTTGCTACTTTTGGGAATTCAGTTTGTTTTGTTTTTGCTTTTCTTAATCTGACCTTAAATCTGTAGGAGTCTGTAGTTCCCATGCACCCCCTTCTCTCTCTTGCACACAAACTCTAGGACTCTATTCTGAATTCTCTTCAATCCTCTCCACTTACTGCATTGACTGTTGAATATTTATTTCTTATGTCTGTTGAATGCCTCCTATTTGGCACTCTCTGTGAGAGGTGCTATGTGTACATTGGTGGGAAGGTCAGAAGGTTCCTGCCTCCATGGAACATACCCTCTATAGAAATACCGTCCAGTAGAATTTCCCACAGTGATGGGAATATTTTATATCTGCACCGCCAGGTAGCCACTGGCCACATGTGGTGAATTGACTCCTTGAAATATGGCTAGTAAGACACAGAAAATGATTTTTTTTAAAGATTATTTATTTATTCATAGAGACAGAGAGAGAGAGAGAGAGAGCAGTCACCATGCAGAGAGCCTGACGTGGGACTCCATCCAGGGTCTCCAGGGTCACACCGGCAGGCGGCACTAAACTGCTACGCCACCGGGGCTGCCCAGAAAATGAATTTTTAAATTTAAATATCTATCTTAGTTGATGACTGCTATATTGGATAACACAGTCTTTTTTTTTTTTTTTAAGATTTTATTTATTTATTCATGAGAGAGAGGTAAGGACACTCAGAGGGAGAAGCAGGCTCCACGCAAGGGGCCCGATGTGGGACTCTATCCTGGGACTCCGGGGTCACGCCCTGAGCCAGAGGCAGATGCGCAACCACTGAGCCACCCAGGCGTCCCTGGATAGCACAGGTCTAGTGGAGGAAACAAGATATCAAACAAGTAATCACACAAGGTGTTTCCAGGAAGTCTTTATTTTGTTATATTAGAAATTTGCAAGTATCTGGGGTCAGAAAGATTGTGTTAGATGCCTTCTCAAATGGCCTGATATAAATTATCACGGGACCTAAGGAAAGGCTGGTTTTACTGGGTCCTAATGGTAGACAGTGGTGTTTAGTGATCCAAAGGAGAAGCTTTGCCTTTCCTTGTGTGTTGTGGAAGCAAACCAAGGCCGGGCACCTTGGTTGTCAGGAGGATTTAAACCCCTTCCCTTAAAAAATAAAAATAAAAAAAAAATAAACCCCTTCCCTTTATGCACTTTGGCTAGTTGGCATTTGAGCTAGGTTGAACTTGACTTGGATTTTTATTTAGCTGTAGTTTCATACTTAATGAGTTAAAATGTTATAACACTGAATTTTTGCAAAGAGAATTTTTGTGCATTTTTTTCCCTGCAACTTTCAACATTTTTTTGGTGATTGTCTTAATCATGTGTTGTCATGTCCTCTATTTTCTGCCTTGTTTCTTTCTTTCAGTTCTTGCAGAGAAGATCCCTTAGGTCCTTGCAGTGTAGTTGTTAATGTATTGTTTTTCTTTTGGCTTATATTTTTACTTGCAAAAATGCCTTTCGTGTCCGGTCTCTGACTTTATGGCAACTTGCCTTCGATGTGTTCGATTATGTTAGTTAATGGATGGCCTGGAGAAGTGTTGAAGTTGTTCGACGACATGAATGGTGAGCTTTTTAGCCTCTGAACAACTTGTTGAGATTGCAAGGTGCTCTTAAAAATAATTTATTTTCAAGTGTGATAAAATAGACATAACATGTACCGTCTTAGCCATTTTTAAGTGTATAAATTCGGTGGCATTCCTACACTCACATTTTTGTGCAACCATTACTGCTTCATTCACAAAACTGAAACTCTGATGAGCACTGGGTGTTATGCTATATGTTGGCAAATCAAACTCTAATAAAAAAATATACAAAAAAAAAACCCACTGAAACTCTGGAACTCATTAAACACCGTATCTCTCCATTACACCCTCGAATGAGCCCTGACAAAGAGCAGTCTACTTCCTATCTCTACAATTTTCACTACTCTAAGTACTTCATATGAATGGCATTAGACGGTATTTGTCCTATTGTGACCAGCTTATTTCACTCCGCATGTTATCTTCAAGTTTCATCCAGGTTGTAGCCTGTCAGGATTTCCTCTGTAAGGTGGAGTAATAGTCTCCTGAATGTATACTTTGCTTACGCATGTGTCTGTTAGGGACGTTTGAGTTGCTTCCACTTTTTGGCGATTGGGAATAATGCTGCTGTGAAAATTGACGTACACATACCTGTTTGAATTTCTGCTTTCAGTGCTTTTGGGTGTCCCCACAAGTCTGATTGCTGGCTCATGTGTTAGTTCTGTTTTTAATGTTTTTGGGTGCTTTCATTATTTGACTTAGATATTGTCCTAAATCCATTTTTTCCAGAAGAAACCGGCTAGAGGAAGTAGATAGAGAAACCCATGCATTTCGTCGTATGGCTTCAAACTCTAGGCAGACTTTTAGGCCATTATAATCAATCAGCTTAGTGTCACCCACACGCAGAGTAGTGAAAGGTTATGTCCGACATCTACCTCAAAGTTTTGTTATCTTTGCTTCCAGTTTTTATTCAGTCATTTAGCAAGTGTTTGAGAGCTTACTTTGAGATCTTACCTGTAATGAAACCAAACCTGGACCTGTGGGAGGTTGTTCTTCTAGACAGGTTCTCACCAGTCAGTTTTGATTTGGGGGGCTTAACGGGGTAGGGATGGCCTTGTAGATTGATTACGTCTGTATTTAAGACTGCTCACACTTACATGGCTTTGTACAATGAAAAAGCTTGTTTGAATAACATATTGATATAAATAAATACCACTGTTGATTTAAGATAAAATTGCGTTTCATTTCATGGGTGCTTTGGCATCTCACCAGAAATTCGTCAAGAATATTTCCAAATTTTAGGTTGTGAGTGCTCCAAAAATGTATGTGGTAGTTGTCTTGGGTTCCTAAAGTGTGAATAGTGTGTTATTTTAAGTTCACATGGATATTTTAGAAATGACATCTAACATCTTTGATGACCTCTAACATTTCTGGCTCCTCCGTTTCTCTTAGGTTTATGATCTAGTTTCTAAATTCACAAGTCCACCGAAGCAGCTGTTGCTAGCTGGGTATCTTAGTTAATATTTTACCTGAATAATAATCTCCTAATTAAGAGGATTACAGTTATGTCCTTGTTTCGGGATGGAAAGGAAGTTTTCAGAATTGCACATCAAGCAGGAACTGGGGAGCTTCTCGTTGCTTCCCTTCTATAAAGAACCCACAGCTGAAAGTGCTGTTAGTGACCGCAGCCCTTTCTGTCTCGCTTAGAACAACTGTAGGGATAATCTGGTTAAATGCTTCTAGCCTGGAGCGTGATTCATGTGTACAGCAACGTCTCCACCCCCTTCACACTTTGCCGGAGCCTTGGGAGAAGTTATTTTTAAAGTGGGAACGTTTGAGCTGAGAGAAGTGAAATGGCACCCTCTCTCGTCCTAGCAGTAATGACGCCGGGGGTGTCCTTATTTGACTGCTGCCATCCCTGCCTTCCGTCATCTAAGGCTACAGCTGCGCACCTTGCCCGGGGCAGGGATCTTCTTGTACCTTTGCACCGTGCCAGGGACTCTGGGCAGAGCTTGGCCTTTCTGGCTCCTTCTAACCACAGAACCCGAGCAGCTTTGGCATTGGGCCAGATACGATAGGATTTCAAGTATAAGCGACTGTGCTATCCAGGGTCCCCAGTGCCTTCCCCGAGGAAGCGGGGCCTTGGTTTATGGTTACACTCCTGCTTCATCTCCCAGGGATTTGGTTGAGCTTAAGAGGGGGCTGAGTGACCACGGCCTCTGTTCCTAAGGGTTCCCTGAGAGGGAAGGCTGGGGTAGGACCCTGCGGTTTACTAGGACCCAGACCTGAGAATTGGCTGGAGCTCCTGCTACTGCCCACTGGAAGGGAGAATGGGATTTTTCTATTTGCTCACTCTAGCGACCCTTCATTCTCTCTCCTTTGGGAAACTTCAATGGACTCTATACTCTATAGAGAGAAGAGCTCACGTGTGCTGTGATGGTTAAATGTGGGGTGTGGAGCCTGTCGGCCTGGATGTGAATTCTCTGCCACCTACCACCTTGGTCACATTGCTGTAATCTCTTGGCCTCTATTTTCTTTCATGGAGTAGAGGCAGTGAGACGTCGATGAAATATGTTTTACTTTGTTTTTTAAAGACTTTATTTATTTATTCCCGAGAGACACAGAGACATAGGCAGAGGGAGAAGCAGGCTCCACGCAGGAAGCCCGATGCGGAACTCGATCCCGGGACCCTGGGGTCATGCCCTGTGCCGAAGGCAGACACTCAACCTCTGAGCCACCCAGGCGTCCTTGAAATAATGTTTGTAAAGCACCTGGCATATTGCATCATCCACACATTTACGGGCTGAATTGTGTTGCTACACCCCACCCCACCCCCTATGTTGAAGTCCTAACCTCTAGTGGCCCAGACTGGGTATTTGGAGATAGGGTCTTTAAAGAGGCAGTCAAGCTAACATGAGGTCGTTAGCGGGGGGCCCTAATCCCCCCACATGATCGGTATCCTTATAAGAGGAAGAAATTAGGACACAGACTGGCACGGAGGGAGGACCACGTGAAGGCACAGGGAGAAAAATGACCATCTACGAGCCCGGGAGAGGCTGCAGAGGCGGCCAGCCCTCCAGTGCCTTGATCTCAGCCGTCCAGCTTCCAGAATCCTGGGGAGGATTTCTCTTGTTTGAGCCGCTCCGTCTGTGGTACTTCGTTATAGCAGCCACAGCAAACGAATACACAGAGGAATGAGGGCTTAGTTACTAGTTACTATTCTTATTATTGTTTCCAAACTACTCAGCCAAAGGACAAAATGAAGTGGCCACATATGAGAAAGTTTATTCACTAATTTAGTAAAAGAGACTAACCACAAAAGGGAAATAGTAAGAGTTTTTTAATAACACCTGTGGGTGTGAAGGCCTGGCTGGACACCCTAACTAAGCTAATAAGGTTATGGGTCCCAAGAATATTTAGCTGTCGTGACACGTCGGTAAGAAGACCTGTGGCCGAGGGGCGCCTGGGTGGCTCAGTTGGTTAAGTGGCCGCCTCTTGATTTCGGCTTCGGTTACGATCTTGAGGTTGTGGGATCGATCTTGAGGTTGTGGGATCGAGCCCTTCATCAGGCTCCTCTCTCTGCAGGGAGTCTCCTTGAGATTTTCTCTCCCCCACCCTCTGCCCCACCCCCTGCTTGCATTCTCTCTCTTCTGTGTGTGTCTCTCTAAAATAAGTAAATCTTAAAAAATAAAAACAAAACAGGAAGAAGACATGTGGGCTGAGAGTTCACACACCTGGCCTGGGGAGTCTCTGCTCAGGTACCACACAAAGGATGGCCTTCCTTGGACCCGACCAAATAGCTAAGATAAACGGAGCCCACGAGCAATAAAAGGGTGAGAAATAGCAAGAGCACATAACTTTTTAATGGATAGTATACGTATGCAGTAATTAGGTAGTACAAAGGTAAATTAAAAAGAAGATCTTTTTGCTCGGTTGAAGGGGAATGGAATGGTGTAATGTATGCAAAATATGCAACAGGGGAAAATGCAGTTTTTATAGATACCAAGAAGTTGCCTATAATTAAGAAGAAAGTGAGGAAGTTGGAAGATCAGAACGAGTATGAATCCCGCTGCCTTTGGAAGGATGTCACTTTCAACTTAAAAATCAGAGACATTGATGACATTGATCAGAGACAACGATTTGCCCTTAAAGCAATCATTCTTTTTTTTTTTTTAATTTATTTTATTTGAGAGAGACAGAGTGAGAGCAGAGGAAAAGAGAGAGAGAAAGAGAGAATCTTCCTCAGAATCTGCACTGAACAGGGAGCCTGACATGGGGCTCAACTCCACGACCCTGAGACCATGACCTGAGCTGAAGCCAAGAGTCAGACACTCAACTGACTGAGCCACCCAGGCGCCCCTAACCAACCATCCTTACTGTCATTTCTGTGCGTCTTCTAGAGATATCTGTGTACATACAAAAAGGTGCTTATATGTACATATATACAATGAATATAAATTAATATATTCTATAATTCTGTATTAAGTAATTGATCTGTAACATTGTATTAGTTGTAGGTGTACGACATAACGATGTATGTATGCATCGTAAAATGATCACCTCTATAGGTTTAGATCATCCGTCACCATATTTGGTCATAAATATTTTTTTCATGCAATGAGAACTTTTAAGATTTACTGTCTTAGCTGGGACGCTTGGGTGGCTCAGTGGTTGAGCGTCTGCTTTTGGCTCAGGGCATGATCCCAGGGTCCTGGGATTGAATCCCACATTGGGCTTCCCGCCAGGAACCTGCTTCTCCCTCTGCCTGTGTCTGTGTGTCTCTCTGTGTCTCTCATGAATAAATAAATAAAGTCTAAAAAAAAAATTTACTCTCTTAGCAACTTTCAAATATACAATACGGTATAGTTAACTATAGTTAACAATACTATCTATCCTTGGGACATTTTTTTTTAACTAAAAGTTTGTGCTCTTTGACCCCCTTCCCTCACTCTGTCTACCCCCTACCCCTCACCCCTAATAGCCGTCAATCTGTTCTATCTAGAAGTTCAGGTTTGTTGTTTTAATTTTTTTTTAATTAAATTTTTGAGGGACACCTGGGTGGCTCAGCGGTTGAGCATCTGCCTTTGGCTCAGGTCGTGATCCTGGAGTCCCGGGATCAAGTCCCACATCAGGCTCCCTGCATGGAGCCTGCCTCTCCCTCTGCCTGTATCTCTGCCTGTCTCTGTGTGTCTCTCATGAATAAATAAATAAAATCTTTAAAAAAGTTTTTTTGACAAATTCCACATATAAGTGATTTGTCCTACAGCATATGTCTTTTCCCGTCTGACTTATTTCACTTACCATGGTGCCCTCAAGTTCGTCAGCGTATCACATGGCATCGTTTCCTGTGCTCGTTGGCCATCTTATTGTGTTCTTTGGAAAAAATATCCAGATCCTCTGCCCGTTTTTTAAATTGGATCTTTTTCTTTTTTGCTTTTTTATTGGGTTGAGTTCTTAATATATTTTGGGTATTAACCCCTTATCAGATATATGGTTTGCAAATACTCTCACTTAATAGATGATCTTTCTAGTTTGCTTAAGATTTCCCTTGTGGGGATGCCTGGGTGGCGCAGCGGTTTGGCGCCTGCCTTTGGCCCAGGGCGCGATCCTGGAGACCCGGGATCGAATCCCACGTTGGGCTCCCAGTGCATGGAGCCTGCTTCTCTCTCTGCCTCTCTCTGTGACTATCATAAATAAATAAATAAAATAAAAATAAAAAAGATTTTTTTAAAAAAAAGGGATCCCTGGGTGGCGCAGTGGTTTGGCGCCTGCCTTTGGCTCAGGGCGCGATCCTGGAGACCCGGGATCGAATCCCATATCAGGCTCCCGGTGCATGGAGCCTGCTTCTCCCTCTGCCTGTGTCTCTGCCTCTCTCTCTCTCTGTGTGTGACTATCATAAATAAATAAATTAAAAAAATTAAAAAAAAAAAAAAAAGATTTCCCTTGTGTTTGATATAGTCCCTCTTGTTTATTTTTGGTTTTGGTGTCAAATGTAAGAAATCATCACCAACACTGATGTCTAGGAGCTTATCACCCTTTTTTTTTTTTTTTTCTAGGCATTTTATGGTTTCAGGTCTTTGAAACCATACGGTTAAAGTTTTTTTTTGTTAAGATTTTTTTTTTTTAAAGATTGTATTTATTTGTTCATGAGAGACACACAGAGAGAGGCCGAGACATAGGCAGAGGGAGAATTTTGAGTTGATTTTGTGTATGGTGTAAGGCGGTGGTCCGGTTTCCTTCTTTTCCATGTCACTGTCCAGTTTTGTCAACACCATCTA